GGCTTTTTTATTTGCTATCCTAATATAACTTATATTATGAGTCATTTTTTGTTCTTATTTAATCATATAACTATTATATTATATCCCTTTATAATATACTGATGGATCTAATAAAACTGCTCACATTTTGTGGGTTTTTTCAAACTAATTATATAATATTCTTTTCTTCCAATACTATCCCAACATAACTGATATTATTGGCCTTATTTTGGTACTATTTCATTATAAAATAGGTATCTTATAACTCTTTTTATATACTATCCTAATATTTCCTTCCAATTAATGATATTCTGTACCTATTTAGTTAAGAACTATTATATTATATCCTAGATAAAGGAACTTTATTTTATTTCTTTATAAAATATTATATCTATTATATCTTTCTTTTATTACTTTATTTCTCTTTGTGTATATAATTATTAAATTATATCTCTTTTCAATACCTTCCTAACAAAACTAACAAAATAAGATATATTTTGTTTCTTTTTAATCACAAATCTATTATAATATGCCTCTTTCTATATAATATCCTAATAAAATGAGTAGTATTACATATATTTTGTACCTATTTCTTTATGAAACTTTTACATTATATCCTTATTTTTATACTTTCTCTCAAAACCAATATTATTAGTCATGCATACCTTACAACAAAAAACAATTAAATTATAAATCTTTTTACAGACCACCCCCACAAAACTACCACAATTATTCACATTTTGTACCTTTTTAATCACAAATCCACTCCATTACCTTAATCCCAGTTAGTTAAGATCTAATTATATCGTTTGACAGACACCACTATGTACTCTCCCCACTTCATCATCCGATTGTTACGACTGACAGATTATTTCTTATGCAAATGACATTGAGATAGAGATCCCCCCCTCAACAAATTGATTGGCAACCACCCAGTAGTAGTAGTGTAGTACGAGTATGTGGCAAGTGCCATTGGACTAATTAAAAGGCTGGCGTAACTTTAACCAGTTGACATGGCAATTAACTAGATTGCCAGCTGAAATCGAATTTCAGGCGACTTCTTGCACTCGAAACACGTGAGTTGTCTAGCAAACCCAATAATAACCATAATTGTAGAGTGCGAAATAGTGTTTGGCAAATGTTATTTCAATGTTGAATACCTCCGCTATCGTAGACTCCATATATATAGTTACTCTCCAGGGCCCATGTGCCGCCTCAGATAACAGGAACATTCTTTGCGGCTACTTTTCATGCACTAATAGTTGATCAAAATTTATGGGAGCCCTCCCTGTGTCGGAGGGGGTATAGCCATGGACCGCCCTACGTTTGGCGGTGCATCGCATTCGCCACAGCCCAGCACCAACCTTGGTAAATATGCTGTGCTGGCCTGGTGCTGGCCTGATGGTGCTGCGTTGGCTCTGGGACCTTTGTTGGTTCTGCCAGCCATTGTTTTTGGAGGTACCCATCGTGTTGCCAACTTGGCTGTATTCTGGGTGCTTCTGGATGGGTTTCAGAGCTACTATTTTGAGTGGGAGTTTCCAAGGAGAGTGTTTTAGAGACCGAAAAGAATAACTGAATTATTAGAACCCTTCTTTATTAATATGTTTTGTATATAAATATATTATTTAATGTACTACTTTAATCATATATATATGATTCATATGATATGATCATATATCATATGATTTTCAACTATATTGATTCTTTGTGTTAATTTTTTGGGTCTTAAGTTACTTTATTCAGAACCAATTTTGTAAAATTGTATTTACATTTGTATTTATTGTTTATATTATACTATTTTTTGTAACATTTTATTGAAAATTATTAAAATATCAAATATTATTTTAAATTGTCATATATACCCTATATCATCTTGATAGTATCTTTTAAAGGTTTTTTATAAAAAATTTTTGTTTTTAAGTTACTTTATAAGGAATAATAACTGATTTTTCAGAACTCTTTATTAGAAACCTATTATTTTTATTTCTCTATCAATTTATTCCTCACATTGTAATGTATTCCCTCAATTATTATGATGTATTATATACCCTATATGATTCTTAAAGGGAAGATGGCTATATTTAAGAACAAAGTTGAATTGCAATGGGTTTAAGGTCAGATTTTCTTAGATTATACCATACATAATACTAACTAAATTAATATATTTCTATATTAAATCTTAATATTTCATAGACTTCCCTAGTCTAGTTAGCCACCACCTTGACTAGATCTTCCAATTAGTCAACCATATTAAAATTAAGCATTACTGACACCACCGACCGTGCTGCTTCGCTGGCTGACTGACTTGCTCCACTATGTTTCAGTTTTGGTTTCTGGGGGGGTTGGGCACTGGATTTGGGGTTTGGGGGCTAGGGCAGTCTTTGTCAAGCTCGACCCTGGGGGCATGGCTCATAAATTTCCCGCTGCTATTGCAATATGAAATATATGCAACGTAATTGAATAGCGCTGGTGGTAGAGCTCTAGATATAGGTGTAGGTGTAGGTGTAGCTCGTCCGTGCCTGTGCTCGTCGACTGTTAATTTTTAATTTTTGCTCATAAATAATCAAGACATTTTCATTAGCAGCAGTTTGAAAAGAAATTCGAAGGAGAGTGAGAAAAAGTGCCAACTCATGGCAGAAATAAGACAAAAATTGTAAAGAAATGGGAAAATATTTGAATGGAAATGCAGGGGGGAAGGGTATAAGTTATTGTATTCCAAGTACAATGGAAGCCAAAAAATCTCTTGTTATGTTTTAAGCATTAAAATATTTATGTATGTGAATAGTCTTATTTTTTATTTTTTAAATAATTTTAAAAAGAAAGTCATGAAAGAAATCCTTTTTTTTAAAACCACTTTTCAAGACCTTCTTTCAAGAAAATACTCTTTAAAATTTTTCTGAGCAGCCCAAAGAAAAGAATTTCTTGGAGGCCACCTCCTCCTCCACCTCCAGCTTGGAAATATTTCCAGCCTGATTGTGCGCCAAAAATAGAAATAAAAGTGCTACATTAGCGGAATGGGCTTTTCTGTTTCTGTTTCTAGTTTTTTTTTCCTCTTTTTTTCTGTTTTTTTTTTTAATCTAGGCTAACATGGGAAACTAGAAGCGGGTGTTAAATGCCGCGTAATCATTTTCGGAAGCTCATAAAAGCGCAACTAAAAAAAAAAGTGAGTTATGTGAGGGAGCGAGGCAGTGGGCCATGTTGGGGGTGTCAACTGGAGTGCGAAAGCTGTGCAAATATACGTAGTAAGCTACGTCAGCCTCCACCAAGCTGGGTGCCTCCACCTCCATGTTGCTGCCAGAGTGGTAGTGACATTCGAAGAGAAAAAACAAAAAAAAAACAAAAGAAATAAGGCCAATGATGCTTGTAATTGTAGCTCCAGTTGGCAGCCAACTTTTGTTGGTTTTGCAACTGCTGGTTTTGTTTTTTTTCCATACAACTTCATCTGTTTTTAGCCAACTGCAGTTTCAAGGCTGAAACTCCAAGCCCACACAAGCAAACAAGTCTTAAAAACTCATTAACGCTTCATGGAAGCCCTTGCCACTGCCCCTCATCCGATGCTGCACTCAATCAACTCCAAAGAGGGTGGATGCCCCGGGAGATGAGTTGTCTTCATTTCGCCAGTGAGTGGCAGTGACCATAAAGGATGACAACACAACCAGGCCATCTCATCTAGAGAGACTCTAATAAACTCCAACTTTTAACCTAAAAATGGTTATATCTTGAGTTCTCTATAACATCTCTGATAGACGACCCAAATATATATTTTCTATAAATAACACGTCCGTCTCATCACAGACATTCCATCACACAAGACTCTACTCTCAAAAGTCGATCATGAACAGGAAACTGTGTTTAAGACCACAAACATTTTGTCATCTCATCTGGTGGTGGTGATGTGGTGATGCGGCCAGCTTTATCACCACTTCTTGTGCCACAAAGATCCAACAAAAAGCACATGACAGTGCTATAAAAAGTGCCCGGCCTCATCCTAGACAATTACGATAGAGTAAGACCCGGTTTACTACCAGGGGGGAGGGGAAATCTACAGCAGCATCGCAGTTGCCGCAGCTATAACTGTAGTTGCAGGTGTCTAGAGTGGTGTGTAGTGTAGTGTACCTGTATGTAGTTTTTAGTGTATATTGCTCCGGGGAATTTACGGAGCGTTGATGGCTTTCTCCTCAAAGACTCACCTTGAATAGCACATGGCGGGAAGCCAGAAGAGGGGACCACAGGGAGATGATCTCTTGGCCATTAAAAGTAGCCACTGGTCGGCAGAAAAATAAAAAGAAGTTTTCGTTTATTAGTGGCATGGGCCAGTTAATAGCTTCATTTGCACACAACAGACTGGCCGAGGTCATGAGGGTAGGATCGCTGCTCTTCAGCTGGAACGGCAGCCAGAAATCTATCAAGGAAGTCTTCCTAAAATACCTGGTACTTAAACCACAACCCAGCTAGATAAGCTCTCCAACAAATGACGAATATTTCGGGGCCTCGGAGCTCATCCAAAATCAGTAATCAGTAAAAATTTTGTAGGCACATTACTTTCCGGCAAGTACGTTCCCACAATCAGTACTTTTGTCTGATTTTTCGCCCGAACTGAGCGAAAGTCACGACCCGACTAAGTAGCTGATCATTACAGTGCGCTGCCCAAGTACGTGGTCGGTTGTCATTAGCCCTGGGCATTAATTGCGACCTTAATGCATTTGGTTCCACGGTGCGACAACTATGGAAGATGATAAAAAAATACAAAAAAAAAATAAAAAAAGAGGAGGAAATGCATTTGCAATGCCGGATAGCAAACAAGAAATGAAGAAAAAAAGAGCCACTGCAATTGCCAGTCTACGAAAAGCAGAAGATTTCACGGATTTAACGCGAACCGGTTTAATTGGCTCGACCTCCAATCAGAATCAAGTTCACGAACGCATCGCATCGCCTGTAAAAGCATTATATCTTTCGGAGCTCCAATAGGAAGCAAAAAAAAAAAAGGAGAAAACTTAAAACTATCAACTGTGGAAGCTTACCCTCTGTGGAAGCTGCGTGATTTCCGCTGTTGGATGAAGAGATGTTCCAGTGGACCGGTGGAGAGCGGCAGGATTAAAACGAGTGTGTGTATGTGGCGAATTAAGGTGACCAACAAAACATCCACATCCACATCCACTCGCACTTACACTCACACGGCCGCCACGCACACCCACCCACCACGGAGATGGAGAGCCGGAGAGCTCGGGGTGTTACTCGAAAATTGAACACGTTTGCCGCTATTCCGGCGTATTGGCTTTCCGTAACGCCCCCGAAATGTGAGCGACCCGGTTTATTTACACGTCTCGTACGGCCGATTTACTTATAGTACTTATTATGGACCGCGCCTGCTGCTGCACTTTCCACTACTACTACTACTACTGTTACTCCTCCTCTCCAGAGTGCGTGTGCTGGTGTGTGTGTGTGTGTGTCAGGTGCACACGTATGCATCTACATCCGTGTATGTGTGTGGCTTTGATTTTTTCCCGGCGCGGTTCGCAATTAATTGGACAATTTGCACCCCGTACCGCTGGCTCACACTGCACGAGCACTGTATTCCTTCTTTTTTATTAACAAGTAACCAGTAATTCATGCGCGACGCGACGTTCCCTCGGCGAAAAACAACAACAGTGTTGACTATTGTATTTAGGTGGCTTAAAAATAACGATAACGATACAAAAAAAGTATAGTGTTGACTAACGGATTTAGATGGGGAACTTTTGAAGCAACGGTCTCACTAATTGAGAGGAAGCACTAGATTGCAGTGCTGGAAAACGACTGGTCTGTTAACACTTCATGTTATTAACAGTTACTGTTAGGCTCCTATTTTGGGTTCTGTCCCCTAAATGAATATTCTGAATATCTGAACAATATTTAACACGTAAAAATTAAATTCATCTTACCACGCTTTATCAAACATCTTAAGAATGTTAAGCATTAATAGTTCCCAGTTAAGGTGATTTCAGTACTTTTGCCTTTAATTTAATAACATAATTTTCTAAAACATGAAAAAAAAGCTTTAGACTTTCCTAGTTTCTTATAGAATTCACCCCAAAATCCACGATTCCCTAAACGGGGAAACCCCTAATCAGAACTAGGGAATTTCTAACCGATAACAGTGATGAACAACGTTTGTAATCGATATTTTTTAGCCCCAGTCGCCCTGTATAACTAAAACGGAAGCTCGTTTAAGAGGCGCCATTTTTAAATTATTTCAAAACTTCAACGAGAAGTTATATATCTCTTTATATGTATATATTTAATTTTCAAATATCCCCCTTTTAAATTCAAAATAAAAACAACCATTTTCAACTATTTTTGCATTTATTTTTCCATTAAAACTCCGTTGAAACACGACCAAAACTATGTGGTGATGCTGTAGGACTGATTCACACTTGGTTAGCTAAATCTACTAAAAATACGTAGACTTTGTAAAATTGTATTTATATCGTAAGAATTTATATCGTTTTTTTTTATCTTATAAAGGACGTTCTAGTATGCCTTAAGCCTTAAACGGACAAAAATTCGTAATTATAATTAACTTATAGGAAAATTTTTACACACATCGCTGCCAAAGAATATGATACGAAAAATATCTGCTGCCGTAATTTAACAAAATTATTCCGAAATAAAAATAAAATTGCAATTAAAACCGCTGGCTTATCTTGGGACGAAGAGTCAAAAAATGGAATTTAGCCTGAACTAAATACTTCGACATCGTTTTGCCGACTTTAGAGTGCAATCTAAGTTGGTAATAATAAGTATACGTAAATGGTTAACCACCGAACTGATCTCACTTTGGCGAACGGGCAGCACTTATCTTCAGCTTCTCGGCGTCCGTGAACTCCAGGATGCTTTCGATGGCCTGCAGGTGACCCTGGGAGTTCTCCTTATCCGTTAAGAAGTAGAAAATAGCGCTCTTCAGGAATTGCAGCGTTACCTCCGGATCGACGTGGGTGCGATTTTTCTGGGCCTCCAGCAAGCGACGATAGATGGTCTAAATTTCGATTTAATATCATACATTTTTTACACAGTTCGGTGTGGGGTTAGTCGGTGATACGGAGTAGAGAGAAAGAAAAAGTGCAAAAAGTAGAAAACATTAGTTAGAATTTTATCATCAAACTGGGAATCGAATGTGAGGTTAGTCGTAGAAATAAAATGTATTTACAAAAGGTTTTTCTCTTTAATCTTCGCTGGTGCTATGCCATATGAACATTTAGGTTATAATGGTTATAATGTTATGTAACACTGAATATTATAATGGGTTTCAGTTTTTTGGGCGTTAAAAGGATATACTGATTACTTGAGAGAAAACTGGAGATGAACCACATGCTACATGAATCTTATTTGTAGATTAGCTGTAAGTGTGTGTTTCGGAACTCATCTTCTAGCCTGGTGTGTTTTAATTTTTATAATTATTAATATTGTACGTCTAGATGTTACCTCTACAAAGAGTATTGGTTTGAAATTGAACGAAATGTACTTACAAAATATAAATCATATTCAAAAATGATCAACATGTTCGCAAGAAGATATTCAAACTGGTTGTTTCGATTTGAAGAATTCCCAAGAACCTTACCCTTGCCCATGAGCGCGAATGCAGGATGAAAATGCTGGTTAGTCTCGAGGGGCGAGGTGGGTAATAGATAATGGGTGAGTGGATTTGGTTTAGACCCAATGTTCGATATAGCCAATGTGCATGAACAAATCATAAAATGCAACTAAAAATACGCTTTTTGTTTCATTAATTTTGGGGGTTAGTTGGGGTATATTTTTCTTTTTTAGGGGGATTTTGTTGTTAGGGATATTACAAACCTTACGCGCGCCAAGTACCCACAAAGAAATCGCCTCCTTTGCCGTAAGGAGAGCATTGTTACTGCCGCACTCCCTCATTCTACACTCTGATGCCTACAAAAATAGTTTGGTTTTTGGTTTTTTTACGACAGAGATAAATTTAGAAAGATTTGTTGTTTTTTTTAAATTACGAGTTAAATAAAGATTTGTAAATATTAACCAAAGAAAGCTACAGAGAGTTAAGTTAAAGGCCATCATGCAAATTGGAACGGAAATCGATATCGAAATATGAACAAAAGGTGAGGCAACTGTACTTTCGGTTACTCTCATGCACTGCTTGCTTCTCCACACACTCCGCACTACGTGACTGTACTTTTGGCTACTCGAACTCGCAACGGAAACGGAAATGGAAATGAAACAAATCGAATTGAAAGTAAACGTTGCATTTAATGTAAGTTTGGGTGTGTGTCTGTGTGTCTTTGCTAATTAATTATTAATTAGTTATGCAAAAAATGGTCTTAAAAGCTAATAAAACGAAATTGAAACGAAAAATGTTGCTTGTGTTTTGATTAAATTGGCGATTGGCGGGCATTTCGATTAAGTGCTGCTTTACCATTCCGGGAAAGTCAGACCAATTGAAGTGCCACGCCCACAAACACACGGAGAGAGGTGAAAGCGAATGCGTATGTTGCTCATGTTCTTGTTGTAGTAGTGTTGTCTATATAGCAGCTGTTGTTGTTGTTGTCTCATGGATGTCTCACGATGCAACAAAATGCAACACACAAAACAAAACCGAAAATAGGATGAGGAATATATTGAAGAATCTTACGCGTATGTTCTCCAATTCGTCCTGGGTGCTCTGCAGCTGGTGGAGGAGCTCATTGATCGACACCTTGTTCTCCGGCTGGCGTTGTGCCAGTTCCAGGGCCTGAAAGGAACATTTTTTAATTAAATATTTGGAAAAAAACATAATCCTAACTTTATTTCTTAAACTCGAACCTGATCAGCCCTTGTTATGCGCTCCGCCTCTTGCCCCTGCTGATACATGTGCAGGTACATCTTGTTCTGCTTCTCCTCGTGCTCCATTAGCTTCCGCTGCAGATCCTCCAGCTGCTTCTCCAGCTCCCTGATCCGCTGCTTGGCCTGCTCATAGTCGGGAACCATGTCCGAGTACCGGGAGTTGCATTCCGCCAGCTTCTGGAGCAGCGCCTCCACCTTGTCGTTGTGGGAGCGCTTCAGATCGCTGGTACTGCTATCCTGACTGCGTATGAGTTCCTCGATGCGATGTTCGTACATGCGGATAAGCTCCTGGCGCTGCAGTTCATAGTTCTCCAGATTGCTGACTCCATCGCCAGCGCCGCAGGCTCCGACCTCCGCTTCGCCATCCGGTGTCGTAGAGCCGCCCGCTTCACTCTGGGTCTGCGAGTCCTTCGAGTGCACCGAGGACATGGTGAGGTCCTCAAAGTGGCCGGAATCCGCGTACGAGCTCTGCATCTCCGCCGACATCTGCATGGCCTGCAGTTGCTGGTTCTCCCTGTTCGATTGCTGCTGGCGCAGGAGATGATGGGGACTGCCCTTGGCCTGGCCCTCGTCCACCATGTCGACGATGGGTGACACATCCTGCGATGTTTTCAGTTCCGCCTCGCGCACCGTGACCGCATCAGATGAGGCGGATCGCTCCTCGGGCGAGCTCAGAGATGCCTTGAAAAGGCGCAGCTCTACCACCTCGCGGGTCAACCGTAGGATCTCCGTATCCTTCTGCTCCAGATCCTGGCGAGCGATGCTCAGGAGCTCCTTGAGCCGCCGAATCTGACGCTGCGCCCGCTGAGTGGGCGTGAGATAGTCGGGTCCCACCTGACCCGCGTGGTTGGAGCAGTGCACCACGTATTTCATCTTACGACCACTGAAGGTGGTGCCGTTTCTGCAAGAAAATGGAGGTAATTTCGTCCTTAATTAATTCCGGAAAACTTAATTAAAGCTTGTTATTACCTGGCCACATAGGGATGCTCACAGGACATCGTGGAGCGCCCCGAGGTGGTGGTTGCGAACGAGTACATGGAGTCTAGATCATCATCCAGATAGGTACTGGGCGAATCCGGGGTCACCGGGGGCGTTTTTGGCGAAACCTTGGACTCGTGCAGTGTGGACAGCTTTCCGTTGGCCTTGACGCAGTTCCCCTGACGGATGCACGTGTGAGAGGTCTCTGTAACTGCTACTGCTGCTGCTACTCCTCCTCCGCCGCCGCCTCCTGCTGGTACGGTTGCCGTCGGCTTGCTCAGCGGTGTCTGGGGCGTCCTGGGGGTGCCTTTGTTGCTGCCAGTGTGCCCTACTACACCTGTACAGGTGCCACTGATGCTGCTGCTGATGTCACTCCCGCCGTTCAACTTGAGAGACTGTGGAATGGCAGGGAGATGGTAAATCGAAGACTGCGATTAGCCGTTGTGGTTCGGCTGCCCCTCAATAACTTAATCTTTTCTTTTTCTTCTTATCTTTTTACACTCTTGTTTCACTCTTTAGCTATTTTCTAATTTTGCTGATCAGTCGTGCATGGACTTTTTTTTTTTAGCATTTTTTGCAAAACAATAAAAGAAAACAATAACAATTGGCGTGAAAACATTTCGAATTTGCAACGCCCATTGAAAGCAATTTGTTGCTTTTACATTCAAAGCTCAAAACCAAGAAAACATTGGTTACTTTCATTGGACGGTGCTCTCTAAAATCCCCTCCCTATTCGATCTTTTTGGCCAGCAGCATTTTTGTGGTCAATTAGCCGCTCGTTAATGTGGCTATAAGGGGGCATTTAGTCTTTCCCACTTGGCCAGTTAGCCTCTGGGCTCTGGACTCACTAACATACTGACTTACATCGCGGCTGCTTCGATTAAATCATTAAATTTAACAACTTAACAAGTGAAAAGAAAATAAAATAAAAGTTGAAAGTTGTGTTTAAAGACAACTAGATACTTGTGGTATAAGGGTTCCATTATTCTGGTCTCTATTGAGTATATTCAAATTTTTAACAGAATACTTCTTCTTTTGCCAAAAAGTTCCAAAATGTTTCAAAAAATCGGTAAAAACACTTGCCATTGTGTCCACTCAGTATGCAAAGTAGAGTTGAAATACAAAATGAACGATTTTTGTAATATTTGACTAATAATCCAAAGCAAGGGGTGTACTATGTAAGGTATTATATTATTATAGTAGTCCTGTTGGGGGGATAAGTTATCCCTCAATGGTAATAAGTTATATTATACCTGGTACTCTTCTATTCCATTTCCTATTTCCATTTCCTTTTTCTACAACAAGAAAGCTAAAGCCCACAGTGATGGCTATATCTTCCCCAATTCTTATCCGATTCTCAAGCGGAGCACCTTAAACGATTTCAAGATCGATTCTCCACCATTCTGCATCAAAACCCAGAGACAAAATATTTTTTAGATTTTTTGTCCATTTTTCGTGATGGGATCCCTTGAAAATGGGATTTTCCCCTATAGGGCTCACAGCGATGGCTATATCTTTCCCAATCCTGATCCGATTCTCAAGCGGAGTACCTTAAACGATTTCTGGATCGATTCTCCACCATTCTGCATCAAAATCCTAAGACAAAATATTTTTTAGATTTTTTGTCCATTTTTCGTGATGGAATCCCTTGAAAATGCGGTTTTCCCCTATATGGCCCATAGGGATGCCTATATCTTTTCCAATTCTTATCCGATTCTCAAGCGGAGTACCTTAAACGATTTCTAGATCGATTCTCCACCATTTTGCATCAAAACCCTGAGCCAAAATATTTTTTATATTTTTTTCTCCATTTTTCGTGATGGGATGCCTTGAAAATGGGGTTTTCCCCTATAGGACCTATATGAAAATTAGTATGCGAATACAATTCCATTTAAAATAGCAACTCAAAACCAATAAGTTCATTGACTTGTCGCTCTTTAATTCTTTGACTGTCCCCGATGTGAAGTGATTTAGGAACCACTGACCCACTTGTGACCCAATTTCTGCACGTTGACCAGACCAACTCATCAATCGGTTGACTGAAACTGAGCCGTTTGAATGCAAAACGAAATGAGGGGAAAAGTATCTAACAAATCAGTTTAAATGCCTCCTCACACTACAAAGCTTTCGTGCTGCATGTTTATTTCATAATCAGTAATGAGTTTCTTGCTCTATTTAATTGGACAGGTTCTGGGAAATAATTCATGGTACTTCTTGAATGCCCACAAAGAAATTGTTTACGCACGGCTAACCAATGGCTAAAACCTGACTTGAGTCTACCAACTGGGCCAACCATGTAGTACCTATAGTGGCCATGTCATAACTATAACCCCTCCCGCCAGAAATCAGAAGCAGAAGCCGAAGCAGTTACGTTACGCACTTGAGGGTCTCTACTAGTCAGTTAACAAACTTAAGAGCCATCAAACAGTCACGTCCCGGGTATCTAACCTGGCTTATACGGCGCTCAGGTGCCATCAATTAAGCTGCTGACTAAGAAAAATCAATGACTTTGATTCCAGATAGAAAAGCCGTGGAAAGGGCGGACACAATGCAGGTGAATAGCAGACGGCAGACCCAAAACTCACGTAATGGCCAATTCAGCCCATTTGGCTCTTGGCCAAGTCCCACTGTTCTGGTCACGTGTTGACAATCGCTTTTGGTTGTTTGTTGTTCTTTTCGGCCAACAAGGACTGTTTGTATTTGGCAAAGTTTTTTGGCCAAACATACGAAAGGATATACAAAAAGGCTTGCATACTTTTCAGGGCCACACTAATTGCAGGTACACCGAGTGGGTTTAAAAATGCACATTTTATATTGATTTTTTTTTAATATAAATATGGAAAATTTATATAAATAATATACTGTATTTAAAGGGAGTTTTTTTAAGTTAAATAATAAAAAAATGATCAAGATTCTTTATAAAAACTCTCATTAAAAAAGCTTTATTTTAATTAAGTTCACATTTTAATTATTTAAACCTTTTAAAAAAGCTTAGTGTACAAATATTATGTATCTATATTTAAAAACCACTCTTTTAAAGGAAGAGAGTAACTTTATTATTAAACCACAAATCAATAAAAAGTATTAATAAATAATTCCAAAAGGGCCAACGAACTTCCGAACTAAATCATACCGAACCACTAGCAACATTTTTAAGTAGTGGCTAAAAATAAGTGTAATGTCCAAGGTAGGTAATTACCATTTATGAGCCATGGCCCCCCGTTTGTGGTAGTGGTAGTTGTCTTCAATTAAAACCGCTTACACTGTACTTAGAGTGCGGCTTAGTGCTTAAAGTTCGGCTTCGAGCTGTGTACGCTTCACTTGTTTTTTTGCTTTTTCTTAAAAAAAATGTTTAAACAATATCGGAGAGCTCGGAAAGCGAATCTTGTGCACGCGGCCAGTATAAAAAATCAACTGAAACGCAAATCACTTGGGCCAAGAGGCAAGCAAAATACCCGAAGAAGATACAAAAAAACAAGCAGACCTACCAACAACAACCCCATAAAAAAGCATAAAAAAATGGTAAAACGGGAAGGAAGAGAGATGAAAGAGAGGGAAATGAGAATTTTTGGGGGCAAAGGTGGTGAGGGGGCGGTGAAAAGCTGCGCACTTGCATTTCCCACTCTCATCCCCCGCGAAAGATACAGAGAAAGGCAGTAAGAAGAAAACACAAACAAACCCAGAATCAGCTGTTTCCGAGGTAAGAATTGGCAAAACGGAACAAGCGGAAGTGGAAGCGAACCAGCTGCCAAAAGGGAAGCGGAGAAAGAGGGAAGAAAGGTGGCTAGAAAGGTGAGGCGTGTGTAAGCCAGTGTTTGTATTTGCCTTTCTTTCTTCAATGGGCATTATGCAAACCCAGCTTTTGGATTTATATTTTTTTTTGTTCCCCTCCACGACAAGGTGCATATTGTAGAAACATACAGGTATCTGGTTTAATGATCGCATCGGGCGGGAAGTGTTGGGCAATTTTTCAAACTATAAGCCTGCATGTCATCACGGCAGCGATAAAAATGCAAAAATGCAAGTGACAAAATGAAAAACCATTACCCAACTAAATCAATTATTGGTTTGGTAAGTGCTTTTCAGGAAGTCTTATGCAGAAATCCCATAATTTACGGTGAAACCCAAGGTCTTCAATATATCGAATACAATAGTTTTCGATTAAAGGACTATCATCGATAACATTGAACAAGATTAGGATCAAAAAGTTATCGAAAAAAGTTATCTGATTGGATCTTTAAGATACAATAATCATATTAAGGCTTCTTTCATAGTTCTATCTTTTAATTTATAGCCCCCTTAATATCTTTAATAATTAATTAAAAAAGAAAAAGAAGAATACCCCTAAGTACACCCTCTTTGACCTTTATATCTCTAAGCAAACTCTAAGCTCCCAGAACTTCAAAACTACACGCATAATTTGACATCATTAGGGGAGTGTTTCCAGGACAATTCTGGGACAATTTGAATTCCCAGAAGCTCCACCATTTCCCATACTGTCTAGAGTCTAGAGTTTCGTAATATCCCTTGTACTTTCAATACAACGAGTGCGTGTTACGTTTACCATCCCACATGGCCACCAGGCAGGGTAGGTCTTTTGGTAGTTACATAGGTCAGCAGCGGCAAGTGAAAATCAATAAAACCAAACACCCACAACTTACCAGATTTCGCGGCTTGCCGTTGGCCATTTTTATACCCGGAGACGGTGCATCCATATCCTCAGCTAGGGATAGACAATGGGTGGCGGCACTGCATAATGCATTATCTACTTCCGGTTCCTGCTCCGTCTTGTGGCCTAAATTGCTCCAGCTGCGATTACGTTTAAGATAAACCGACTGGGAGCGCGGGTTAAGCGTTGATGATGGGATCGCCGTGAGCTTGGCGCGCGAACTGAATCCTCCTCCGCCGGCTGGACTGTGCTCGACTCTCCGAACTACCTCCGATGGGTTCCCGCGCAGGCGCATCGAAGCGGAACGCTGGAACGGAGCCACGGCGCGATGTGGAATTCGTGTAGGTGTTGTGGATGCGGCACATTGTTCCTCCTGCGGCTCCTTGTCAGCCAAAGCAGCGGGCAATGACGTCTCCTGCTGCAGCGACGTCATCATCTCTACACGGAGCAGATTTTGTAATTTATTCATTAGCTTTTTTTTTTAACAATTAAACTAAATTGAAAATTACACTAAACACCTTTTACTCTGCGTGATATAAAAAAACGCAAATTATTTTTTAACAAGATAAATGCAAATAAGTCTTAAATCAATTTCTAATCACTGCACTTTCTGAAAGTAAGCAATTTTATAATTGAATGCCTCGCATAAACGACTTCATTATCTTAAATGCTCGTTGGGTAATTAAAACTTTCTTCAGTCCACAATTAATAATGGTTTTGTTGTGCCCCTTCCCGTTTGCGAATGGATTTACTGCACGGATTTGTTGGCCAAATCCAAAATCCAAAATAAAAAGTGAAAATAAAGCAGTTTCCCAGGCATGCAACTCTCAGTTTTATTTATTTTTTTGCTCTTGCTAAAGATAATTATGAAATTTGTTGTTGATTTGAGATCTTTTTCGTTTGCGGTGGTTGCGGCTTTGCCGGTGGATCATAGTGTTCTAGTTACCGCAACAGACCTGAGCTTAAAGGTCTTTGAGTTAGATGATCTCTATAACGTCTGCAGACACATTATTTGACACTTTTAATTGTAAAGAAATAAAAGAAACCAACTATGTATATAGACAAGAAGTCTTATGGGTCTTAAGGTCTAAAAATAATGATTTTCATATCTATAAATTTGATATATATTTCCTATATATCTAGGGATATACAAGTGAATGGGAAATTTATATATTTAACTGAAAGCGGGGACTCATTTTGACCTATTTCCTAAATATATATATATTTTTAAGTCATATAATGACAAAAACCTCTAGGTAAGGCAATGAACCCGAAACTTCCAAAGGTCTTTGGGTTAGATGACTTATAAATTTGACACTTTAAATGGTTAAAACCTAAGGCTCCAATGGTTAAAACTTGAGGTGGTAATCCAAGGTTGTTAGATAGGTTGTCCAATTGTTAGATAAGGGGAAATAGATATTTTTCTTTGATAGATATTCTTTTAAAACATTATAATTAATAACTATTTATCTACAATTTGTTGAATATATATTTTAAACACCTATATTACAAAGTAATACAAAGTCACCACATCATTGAGTGTTTATACTACCTAAGACAGTATATTGTTTAACCCCTTTTTAACTATCTTTAAAATCACCATAATGGGACATTAATAAAAATATATGTAAACTAACAACTTCTAATTATTACCTCAAAACAAAATTAAATACCTTTTATGAAAACCTATCAAGTGAGTTAAACTTTTTCCGCTTTCTTGGCTCTGTTGTGAGAGCCCCAAACAGATTTTCTCGGTTCCAAAAAAAAAAAAACAAATGACTTTAACCAAAATAATTGTTGCACCCAGCTGACCCCTATTATCTGATCTTCTTTGCACCATTCCCCCTTGCCCCCCTTGTGGCAATTAGAGCAGCTATCAATGTAAGTATTTCCGTTCATTTCTTTTTGGCCACAAAAACAGCTCCAGCAAGTGGCGGTTCAGGAGGTTTAGGTTGACTTGGACCATAAAAGGTCAATTTCACAGCTGAACAAACGTGTTTTTTTTCTTCATTTTTCATCCATCTTTTTCAACCGAATTTTTGATATATTTTTTGCCACGTTTTTGAAACCAGATCGAGTGCATTTATGGCATTTCTGCGAACGGGATTGATGATTTAATGAAGACAAGGTCAATGATAGCGTTTAAGATACTCCAGATGAGATGTGAAAATATTTTAATGGGCAAATGGATTCAAGTTTAAGTAAATACCGAGCAGCTGTTCAAGTAATTAAACGGCACGTTTTTACTTGTACTAGGTAGATAGATCTATGCCCTGTAAATACGCAGCTCTCAACCTAGCAATTCCTCTCTCTCACTTATCAACCAAAAACAATTTTGTGGCTGTGTTTTCGTTTCTGATAAGAGCACAACCATCGACACCGAATGTGAAATAACAAATGTGCCTGTCTCAGCTGAAATTTGCTACCTTTCAGCGAGTCACAATTACCAATTACCATTTATATAGTACCTTAAGATGGCTTCGTTGGCGGTTAAAATTGCAATATTTACTTGCAATTTGTATGCAAATAATTGCAGAAACCGTTAACAAATTGTTAAACAAGCGAGTCGTATCTGTTTGGCCGAGCGGAATGTATTCAAAACTCAAAACTTAAACTTAAACAATTGTGGTGCGCGTGCTGGAGGCGAGCGACAAAATGCAACTGAAACTGAAAAGCCAAGCGGCGAATGGAAAACGTTGGCAGATGGAAAAACTATTGTTCAATTACACTTGGTAACAGGGAAACGGGTTTTTCTTTTCTAAAAAATTTAGACAGTGTTTAAAAGTGATTTTAATAATATTATTAAAACGTCCAAAGCTTATATACATACAAATTAAAGATATTCGAACTATAAACATACTTGAAAAGCTTTTTTTAGGGGTTTTAATCTATACTAATAAGTAATAATAACTAATAATCTATAAGTAATTTCATATATATATACATTAGTTATGTATTTTATTTGTGTTATGTATATTTTAAAGATTCAGTTAAAGATTTAGATTACTAATTTTGTGAAATAAGGTTGACAACTCAAATCGTAAGAAAAATTCCACTAAATTTAAGGGCGTTGTTCATTAAAAATATTAAACAATAAACACAAAGCAAATATATATGTATAGGCTTGGTAAGCTATGGAAAATACAAAAAGTTATCTCTTGTTGCCAAGTTTTATCAAAGTGAGATGGAAAATGGAATAGCAGACCGATGGGCGGCAAAGTTAAAGTTGGGGCGGCAGCCGGTATCTGAGGGACCTGGTCGGCATAGAGCACACCTTTGACTTGCCGCCGCCCGGAGATGGCATTTTAAACGAATTTTCGACCAGGGCGCCTGGGAATCTCCATTCTCTGCCTTAATAAATCCACCGGCGAGGTGAAAGGCAACCACCGCATCCGAAGCAAAAGGTTTTGTGCAATTAATTGGCACAATAAAAAGGCGAGTGTGCATTGTACTTTACTTACCGAAATGGTTTCTTTCTTGCCGGGGCGACCTCATTGCATGGCCGTGTATTTCTCATGGCATTTGGCGCTCCAAAAGATGGTGCATAATAAATTTGGCGTTGCTCGGTCTTGCGGAAAGTATGCACTCGCTTTTAGACGGATTCATTCAACTGGCAACTGCAGTAGTATTAACACATTACCAATAATGTTTTAACATTTTATACATTTTTATTTTAAAATTATGACTGTTTAAGAATTGACTTTTGGAAAGCATCCAATTGAATTTGGCGCCCTTCATCGATAACAACCAGTGTTGGTAGTGGTTACGAAGAATAAATTCCAATTAACTAAAGTTCTTGGGATTCAATTTATGAACCTAATTATAATGAAATTATTTTATAAAAAATAATTTACTATAAATAGTTTTATATTTAAGTTATATTCATTAAAATAGACAACATCGGCAAGGCGATAGTCCATCCGATAGACCGGCTGCAACACAGCCCTGTTACCACTAACTATTACTTGCAAAAACGAGACTGCTTTGTGTTTTTTGTTGCTGCTTACGGCGAGGGACGAAAATTACACGTAAATTATAGAAAATAAGTGAATTTATCACCAGACCACAAAGTATCAACATACCCCAAAGGTGAGCGACGTGAATCCTCAAAGGTCTTGGACTCTAACCAACTATTTTTCGTGTCCTTCGCAGCCGCATAAAATGGATCGTTTGCTTCGTCTTGGAGGCGCCATGCCACAGGCTGCTCCACCCACAGATGCTCCCGTAGTGGACACTGCCGAGCAGGTCTACATCTCCTCTTTGGCCCTACTCAAGATGTTAAAGCACGGTCGAGCCGGCGTGCCCATGGAGGTGATGGGTTTGATGTTGGGCGAGTTTGTGGATGACTACACGGTGCAAGTCATTGATGTGTTCGCGATGCCCCAAACGGGAACTGGAGTTTCCGTCGAGGCGGTGGACCCTGTCTTCCAGGCGAAGATGTTGGACATGTTAAAGCAGACGGGACGACCGGAGATGGTGGTTGGCTGGTATCACTCGCATCCTGGATTCGGCTGCTGGTTGTCTGGTGTCGACATCAACACGCAGCAGTCGTTCGAAGCCCTGTCGGAGCGAGCCGTTGCCGTCGTAGTCGATCCTATTCAGTCAGTGAAAGGCAAAGTGGTGATCGATGCATTCCGTCTGATCAACCCCAACATGCTGGTGCTCGGCCAGGAGCCAAGGCAGACCACCTCAAACCTGGGTCACCTGCAAAAGCCTTCAGTGCAGGCGTTGATCCATGGCCTGAATCGCCATTACTACTCGATCAGCATAAACTACCGCAAGAATGAGCTGGAGCAGAAGATGCTTCTCAATCTGCACAAAAAGTCCTGGAAGGACGGTCTCACGCTATCCGACTACAATGAGCATTGTTCTATTAACGAGGACACAGTGTCCGAGATGCTTGAATTGGCCAAGAACTATAACAAGGTAAGAAAATCGAATCTTTTCTTCCCATTACTTTTATTTAAAAAAATATTTATTTTTTAGTCTCTTGAGGATGAAGAGAAAATGACGCCCGAACAGCTGGCGATCAAGAATGTTGGCAAACAGGACCCTAAGCGGCATTTGGAAGAGAAGGTCGACAAGGTCATGCAGAACAATATTGTGCAGTGCCTAGGCGCCATGCTGGACACCATAGTCTTTAAATAAATTCTTGCATTTGCCTCCTTCTTCTTCAGAATACCTCCCCTCATCCCACAAAACCGCTAAGCTAAATCGTATTAACAAAATAAAAACTGCTTTTGTTTGGAGCAAAGTTTTACAACAAACTGACTTGCATTTTTTTCAAGTATATATTATATATACACATATGTTTCTTTTGTGCAAATTAGCACAATTTGTGATCGAACTGAGCTAATCCCTATTTACCTGAAAAAGTTTTCCGAAAGAGAGTTTCTTAGAACAGCTAATTATTCCACGAACAGTTCTTTCGAAAATATGTATCTTTCGCGGTATACCATTTAAATTCAGGTAGAAATTAAAAAAAACCCAACATTTTATTTAGAATTCAATTAGTAAGACTATTATATTGTTACTAAAAGTCAAAAGAATAGCCCCACTAAGGTAAAAATCACCTTTACCCTAACGCTACCGCTTTAATTAACCAAAACATTAGTTTTATGCCAAAAAAGAATCGTTAGCTTTTATTGAAACATGAAAACTTGGATCTTTACTTATGACTAAGTATAGATAAATCTTAGACACACACTTAAAACTATGCGGCGGCAGCTGCTCTTCACATTCTTCTTCTTCTTCTTTGTTTTGTCTTTCTCCCACTCCGCACGACAGCTGTGGGCTGTAATTTCGTTTGTCCCCGCCACCGCCGCTGTTGATTTTCCAATCAAAGATGGCGGCCAGGTCATTTAGGCGCGCTCGCCTCGGATGCGTCTGGCCAGCTGAATGTCTTTGGGCATGATGGTGACGCGCTTGGCATGAATGGCGCACAAATTGGTGTCCTCAAATAGACCCACCAAGTACGCTTCGCTAGCCTCCTGGAAAATGCCAATGGAAAAACCCCATTATTGCGTGACCAAATGAAATCCCCCACACCCCCAGAGGGGCGGGCGGGGTGAGAGTCAGTTACCTGAAGAGCTCCAATGGCAGCAGACTGGAAACGCAAATCGGTCTTGAAGTCCTGGGCGATTTCACGCACCAAACGCTGGAAGGGCAGCTTACGGATCAGGAGCTCAGTGCTCTTCTGGTAGCGACGGATTTCACGGAGCGCCACAGTTCCGGGACGGTAGCGATGTGGCTTCTTGACTCCTCCAGTGGATGGAGCTGATTTACGGGCCGCTTTGGTGGCCAGTTGCTTACGAGGAGCCTTGCCTCCAGTGGATTTACGGGCAGTCTGCTTGGTACGGGCCATTTCTCACGTAGATGAATCAAGCGTTTGTTTTAATAGATCAATAGATTCTAAATTCTCGGACTGACTACCGAACTGTACGAAATTTTCACGTTGAATGAGGGCAAGCGGGTGGGTGTCGAGCGGGGTTGTTTTTCTAGTGATGTGATCAGGGCGACAGATTTTTCAGTGTGACCGTTTTGATAACGATAACTTAAACAATAATTACATACAAATATACCAAAAATATACACTGGAAAAATTTATTTGAATTTAGTTTTTTATGCAATGTATAAAAATACAATATTATACAAATATTTAACATGTTTTATTCTAAGATTAAACAAAAATATCATATGTTTTATCTTTTTAGAAGCTTTATACATACCATCTTATGGGTTTAAATAAGTTTTTTTATCAAAGGCCATATTAACAACGCCGCAGTCAACTTTTCTAGACATCTACACCTACATACGTTTTCCAATATTTACTTAATCTGGAGCTTGGCGACATAATATTTCATTTGGTTCTAAAAATAGACCCTATCGACGGGTTGTTTCAACAAAAAACGGGCAAACTAGAGAGAATTTTGTATTCAGTTTTGCCGCTCAAAAAATATATGGCAAGCCGTATCTGATAGTTTTCGAAACTATCGATAAAATTCACACCGTCTTAGCGGAAGCACGATTTTTGAGACATAGCGGTACTTTCGAGAACGGCGAACTCTTTAAGTTTATTTGACTCGTTTATTTTCGATCAAAAAATGTCTTATTATGAGTTTGGAATTTGTCCCTACAATCCGGACCATCGCATCATGCTGTTTCGGATGCCAGGGCACATTGTCAAGTGCAAGAAAAACTACCGAGGGCCGCCACTGCAGATCTGCAAGTACAACGCCACTCATCGTGTTCTGGACATGGAGGAGCACCTGAAGGAGTGCACTTATTACCGAAACTATATCGACACTCAGGCAGTAAGAATTGCCCTAACTGTGCGCAAGGCTCCGACCGAGAAGGAAGACGACGACGATAATACTGAACTTTAACTTTAAAATCGAATTTCTATATATTACGTACATATCTATGTATGTATAATAAGATTACGTATTAAAGACTATCTTCTAGAAGATAAAATTAAGTCAGTTTTGTTACAATGTTAACCAAATATATTTGTTTCGCTGAGAATCTTATGCTAGAAAGCAAAAGTTTTGTTATTTACAAGCCAGTTACTCGCATTGCACAAAGCCTGTCGTCCAATACACTTATCTTGCGTTCAAAACATCTGCAGGCACTTTTCCACAACTATTTACAGCCTAAGCTTACGTCTAGGACTAGCTAAAAGCTAAAAGCACCAGTACTACACTATGTCCAAGTCCGAATCGGGCGCCTCCTCGTCCAGTAGCTTCTTTTTGTCCGTGGACTTGGCGGAGGCTTCACTCAAGTTTTGAAGTGGGCGAACCTTGCCCAGGTTCACTACCGGGCTTTGGGTGTACAGGTAGATGGCATAGGAGACCACCGCGATAGCCAGCGCAGTGTTCATGTAAATGGGTATCGAGAAAAGGAAATAGCACAGCACCGCAGTAAAGAGCAGCTCCAAGGCACTGGCAAAGGTCTTTAAAATGGAGTTCATGTACTTAAGGAAAAAGCTGGTAACAATTCCAATGGCAGCGTTATTCACAATTATGATCAGAACACTGAACCGCATGATAGTGCCCAAATTGTGAGGGCTGAAGGCGTCCAACAGTTCACCGCGTATCAGTAGAATCACAGCATTGCAGACGATCGAGTCCAAGTACATAAAAACGTTCTGAACAAAAATGTTCACATCCGCGCCCTTATCTTTCAAAAGATATTCGTTGTAGACTCCCGCCAAACACGAACAAATGGTCTGGGCAAGAATGAAGACAGCACTTAGGCTAAAATCGAAGCCTGACATATTTTTCCCGTGCACTTGGTGGGTGTCAACTGCAGTCTTATTTAAAGGATGCTGAATGGCGGCCGATTCGCTGTCATCGTTGGCATCGCTGTAAAAGCTTCCGAAGTTGATCTGCTTCAGCATGCAGCCCAGCGTCAGCAAAATGAGTGAAATCCACTGTTGCTGCGATAGGTACTTCTTGAATATTATCTGGAAAAGAATACCGGTAACAACGACACGCAACTGCAGGAGTAGATAGTAGGTCGTTGGGTCGAACGTGGCCAGGTTAACAAAGGCTAGATTGTTGTACAGGCAGTAGAGGAACGCCGGCACCATATACAGGCCCAGTACGTTCCGATCCTTATGCACATCCCTCACCAAGGCGCGTAGGGTGTTCCTGGGAAAATTCCATCAAATTAGTTGCGGGCCCAAACACATATCGCAATCTTGTACTCACTCTCGGCAGTAGAGGCATGTCGATATGATCAGTTTAAAGACCTCTGTTAGGAGGACAACGGTGACGGTGTTGTAGCCATATGAGTTGTTAGATTCCTGGGATGCTGTCACAAAGATGCCTACGAAGATCGAGAGTACATAGAAAAGGGCGTTGCTTTAATCAGCAGTTTAAGCTTTGGATACCCACCCTGCCCTATGAATAGTGACATATACAGCAGGAAGATCATAAACGTCAGCTTGGTGGGGAACAGTTCACGCCAATTAGTAGACATCTTGCTGGAGAGTTATGGTGACTGCCAGCGCTACGTTGCTAAAGAATCTTTTTGCCGAACCCACTTGCGATCGCGACTCCACTTTGCTGGCAACTGAAATCGCTATCAGTTCCGCTTGTACGCGCAAGCGGGCTACTTTTAGTTCCTAGGAAATCGATTTTTTTACAGTCGTCGCTTGTGATAAACAAAAATATATTTTGGTTTGGCCCTTTTTTTTTTATCGCTCAGAGACAGCTGACGCCAGTGTTGCGAACGCCCACCCGGCTCCAGTGTTGAAAGACACCTTATTGAGCGCTGCCGCAGCCAAGTTCACGTTGCTTTGGTCTTTTCGCTTTCCTCGTCGTCAAAATGGCAAATCGCGGTGGACGTCATGCTCGTAATGAGGAGTCAGACAATACCATAAACTATGTCCAATGCGACGGTCTGGTGAGTACTGCGCCTGGATAGAAATCCGGACAAGAGATTGTCCCGGGGCAGCTGAGGAAAACCGGTGTAAAAGTCGGTGCCACGCGCTGTCTCACAAAATTTGCCTGCTGTTGCGTTTGTGTGTGTGTACATGGGCGTAGGCAATAGGGGAAACCTTGTATCCCCTTTCATTACAGTTTTTGAGGATGATTAATCCTTATTTCTAAAACAGTTCAGTGCTAGGCCCATGTATCATGATTAGAAGTTCACAAATAATTAACCAATTTCCTTCTTCCAGGCCGTCATGAAAATGGTGAAGCACTGCCATGAGGAATCCAGCAACATGGACCTCGCCCAGGGCGCCCTTCTCGGCCTGGTGGTGGACAAGTGCCTGGAGATCACCAACTGCTTCCCGTTCCCCAAGAGCGGCGACGAAACTATGGATGAGGAAATGTACCAGCTGACAGTGATGCGTCGCCTTCGTCGCGTCAACGTGGATCACTTGCACGTCGGTTGGTACCAGAGCTCAGATGTGGGCAACAGCTTGTCGCTGGCTCTCCTGGAATCGCAGTACCACTACCAGACTAGCATTGAGGAGTCCGTCGTTGTGGTGTACGATACCCAAAAGTCGTCCCGTGGATTCCTTTGCCTGAAGGCCTACCGCCTTACCCCGCAGGCTATCCAGATGTACAAGGATGGCGACTTTACGCCCGAGGCATTCCGCACCCTGAAGGTGGGCTACGAGAGTTTGTTCGCCGAGATCCCCATTGTGATCAAGAACTCGCCGTTGACCAACATCATGATGAGCGAGTTGAATGAGCTTTTGCCGGAGGATAAGGGACACAACTTCTTGGATCTTGGTACCGCTTCTGTGCTGGAGAACCACATGCGCAGCCTTATTGAGCGCGTGGATGAGCTTTATCAAGAGGCTGTCCGCTACAACAAGTACCAGCAGGTGGTCTTCAAACAGGACACGGTAAGAAATACACGATGGCAATGCTTTAGAGCTTATACTTAATGTTGTATCACTTTTTTTAGGAGAAACACCGTGCCCTGGCTAAGCTGGCTGCTGAGAATGCCGTGCGCACCTCGAAGGGTGAGCCCACTGTGGCCGAGGAGGAAGTCATCAAACAGTTCCGCCCCATGCCCGTGCCCGCCCGGCTTACGGCCACCATTACCTCCGGTCAGATCAACACCCACGCCCAGCACATTGCCCAGTTCTGTTCGCAGTCGCTGGCCAAACTCTTTATTACCGAATCGCTGCAAAACGCCAAGGAAGCCAAGGAAACCAAGTAGACTATTTTATGTTATACGTTTTTTTCGAGACCGAAGCAACATTCATAATTCAAACAGCGAATACTGTGCACACTGATGACGAAAATAAAACTACACTCCATTAAGTGTGCTTGGAAGCGAAATATCAACTTTTAGAATCATTTTTGGGCTACCCTTTTTGGTAATCATTGATCATAGGAATCATATTCTTGCTATCTATATACACAAGGATTTACCATTTGTCTAAAACCTCCCCCTAAAAGTAGTTATTTTCTAGGCGGGTGGGTTTTCATTCATCCCCCGCCACTTTACGGCCGGAACACTTGCTTCGCTCGTGCGCACTCTGTTTGTTTGGTTTCAGTCTTTCGTTTGCTTCTCCGGGGAGTGTTGCGACCGCAGGCGGCACATTACCATTTTCCACACCAACGCGGCAAGCACCAGATTTTCTTTCTTTCGGTTTGTTCTTCTTTCCTACGTGTTTTGCTCAGCCGCTTTTATACTAGTTTTAATACAACTACTAACCCAATGGCAATATGCTGTCCTACGACCTAAATGAACGCCTGCTGACTGCGGTCCAGAGGGGGGACTTCGAGCAGGCGCTTGGCTGCATCATGCAGGGCGCCCAGGCCTCATATGTCTCACCCAGTTGCGGACGCACAGCCGTGGGCACGGCCGCCATCCTGGGCGATGCCGAGCTGCTGGAGCTCCTAGTGCAGTCCTGCGAGGAGCCGGAGCTGGATGTCTTCCATCAGTGTGAGTTTTCCGCTGGAGTGAAGGAAAATCGATTCGAACATTGTGGGGTGGCTGAATATAACTTTAATTTAGTGAAATGGATGATGGAAGAGAGCTATCATCCTGTAACTCCATTAAATTCAGTGGATATGTGAGGGGTTACCAAAAGATTCAAAATTTTTGCTCCCCATCTGGGTAACAGCTGGTCCAAAAATCAATAAAATATACTATATATGGGGATGGAAGAGCTAATCCTAGACCGGTGATAAACGATGAGGTTTTTCAAAGAGAATTGAGGTACAAAAGGGGATTAGACTGATCCTCACAGAGGATGTGAGACAGGGGATGGGTTTCGCACATTTGGGCCATTTCCAGGTGCCTTTGAGGATTTGCATCCCTTCTGCTTTACCCTAAAAAGTTTCGCACAATAATTATGTGACTCACTTTGAAAAATACTTTATTTAGAATTTATATATTAACTAAGAAAACTAACATGCTTTGGAATATCTTAGATATATTTTAAAAACGGTTAATTAACGGGTAAAATATGATTTATTTCCTGAAGCCTTTATACATATTCTTATTTATTGTTTTATGTTTTCCCATTTAAGTATTATACTCTTCATTTAATGGAGATTCTTAAATTATAATTTATTTAAATTTTTCTTATAAATATCGGTACCTAAACTAGTTGGTTTTTCTTTGTGTAACCACTGACCCGGTTTCCGACCCAGCACACCCATTTTTGGCTGCCGAGCTAGGTGCATTGCCACGACGCGAGAGAGTAGCTAGCCGAGAAGGTTGAGATTCAAAACCGGTTATCGTGGTTGTGGCACTGGCTGATAAGACCCAACAATGAGTGTTACAAAGTGGGCAGTACGGTCGGTCAGTTCGTATAGGAACTTCAGTTGTAAAATATACGTTCTCCAACAAAGTAGGCAATTAACATTTTGTCAAGTTACAATTTTTAGTCGATTTTTAAATAATTCGTTGAAAATTGCAGCTCACACGGATAATCTGGAGATTGAACGCACCCCCGAAGGTATGGACAAGCTGGAGTGGGTGGACGAGTTCGAAAATTGCTCGGAAAATGGAGTTGGCTCCGGCGGAGAGGATGGCCAGCTATATCAGTATTATGCCAAGACTTTTGAAAATACCGGTGAGTTTCTATCCCAGTGCTGTGTCTCTTGCCGGGAACAGGATCCTCATCTCTACGACGCCGATCTGGCCACGCCCCTCCATTACGCTGCCTGTTGGGGTCACGAGGAGTGCGTTCGGATTCTCCTGGAGCATAATGCCCCTATTAATGTGGTGAATAGCGAAGGATATGCTCCGCTGCATGTGGGCGCAGGATTTGCCGGGGTCACTCAGCTACTGATCAAGCACGGAGCTCTAGTGAATGCCAAGACGTTGAGTGATGGCAAGACCGCCCTCCATGTGGCCATCGAGAGTAAATCCGAGGAGTCTGCCCGGCTGCTTCTCCAGACGAATATCAATATCAACGATACGGATGACGAGGGGGAGACCCCGCTTATGACGGCTATAGCCTGCAGCATGGTCGACCTGGCCCAGGAGCTGGTGGAGAGAGGAGCCCGCATTAACCTCCAGGATAAGCAGAATAACACAGCTCTGCTGTACGCAGTGAGGGGTCGCCATGGAGATATAGCCAAGCTGCTGCTGGAGCGCGGAGCTCGCCGACTGGCCTCTCAGCATCTCCTGCACATCGCGGTGAGCTTCAACGACCGGACAATGGTCCAGCTCCTGTTGCAGTACGGGGAGAGCTTGACGGTCCGTGACGAGGACAACCATACACCCATTATGTCGGCTATTCACATGCAGCTGCCGGATATGATAGAGGATCTCCTTACCGCCGCCGAGGAGCATAGGCGATTGGGTCTCTATTCGGATGCCCAGGACGAGGGCTTAGTGTTATTTGCCGTGCAACAGGTCGTGAGCGTGGATAGGTTCCGCAGAGTACTTCGCGTCTTGCTGGCCAAGTTAGCGAGTGCTAGAAGGGATTTGTACAGCTCTTGCACTCCCACCATCGTTTGCGGACTGATGTACTGCCAAACGCCGTTGTCGAGGGCCATTAACCTGCACCGCCTGATACTGGCAGAGTTCCTGATCCACGAGGGATGCAACCTGGCCCAGATCTGTCGGGAGCATGTGGTCAACGAACTGAGAGCCAACTGTTCTCCATCAAGTCTGGCTTTTGAAAATTGTAAAAAAATTTTTGCTTTAAGAAATTGTTGTTTGTAAGTTTTTTAAAAGATTGGACAATATCCCTAATCCAATAAAATTTATTTTAGATTTCCATATATTTTTTGATCCCACTATTCACGTCCCACTCAAAGCCTAAATCGGGCCTTCTGATTCTGACGCCTATCAATCTTGGCCCAGAAAAATATTTCATTCACCCGATCCTTGGGGGATTACCTTAAAGTTTAAGGTATCCCCCTAATTGGGGTGTGTATACGGCCCACTGCGAAGTCTATATCTTTGGCGGTTTTTACCCGATCCTTGAGGGGACAACCTTAAACGATTCGTGGATCGATTCTCTATCAATCTGCATCAAAACCCAGAAGCAAAAATATTTTTCGATTTTTCATCAATTTTTTTAAGCAGATCCCTTGGAAAATTGAGGAATGTATATAGGCCTGCGAAGTCTATATCTTTGTCGGTTTTAGCCGATCCTGGGGAATACCTAAACGATTTGTGGATCGATTCTCTATCAATCTGCATCAAAACCCAGAACAAAAATATTTTCATTTTCATCAATTTTCTGGGTAGACCCCTGGAAAATTGAGGAATGTATGGGGGAGTACCCATACGGCCCACTGCGAAGTCTATATCTTTGGCGGTTTTTACCCGATCCTTGAGGGTAATACCTTAAACGATTTGTGGATCGATTCTCTATCAATCTGCATCAAAACCCAAAAGCAAAAATATTTTTAGATTTTTCATCAATTTTTCTGGGTAGAGCCCTTGGAAAATTGAGGAATGAATGGGGAGTACCCATACGGCCCACCGCGATGTCTATATCTTTGGCGGTTTTTACCCGATCCTTAAGGGGAATACCATAAACGATTCGTGGATCGATTCTCTATCAATCTGCATCAAAACCCAGAAGCAAAAATATATTTCGATTTTTCATCAATTTTTCTGGGTAGAGCCCTTGGAAAATTGAGGAATGTATGGGGAGTACCCATACGGCCCACTGCGAAGTCTATATCTTTGGCGGTTTTTACCCGATCCTTGCGGGGAATACCTTAAACGATTCGTGGATCGATTCTCTATCAATCTGCATCAAAACCCAGAAGCAAAAATATTTTTAGATTTTTCATCAATTTTTCTGGGTAGAGCCCTTGGAAAATTGGGGAGTACTCATACGGCCCACTGCGAAGTCTATATCTTTGGCGGTTTTTACCCGATCCTTGAGGGGAATACCTTAAACGATTCGTGGATCGATTCTCTATCAATCTGCATCAAAACCTTGAACAAAAAATATTTTTCGATTTTTCATAAATTTTTTTTACATATATTGAGGACCTCATTAAAAAATCTTTAAAATGGGATAGTTGTGAAAATATGAAGGAAAAGGCACTGCATTCGTCCTCGTCCGAAATACAGTTTCACTAATTTTAAATAATTATATATATTCTTTATAGGCAATGCCGGATTCCAGTTTCCTCACAAACATCGAGCCTCGCCTCCAGATTGGCCGCCAGCTCGCCAAGAATTCGAACGGCAAATGACAATTTTGGGAACGCAGCCGCGATCTTTGAAGTCCATTTCTCGCTTGGTGATTCGACGGCAAATCCTGAAAACTGTTCAATCTCGTCCCGATATTCAGCACAAGTACCTCCCAAATCAGGAACGCTCTTCGCTGGGAAGGATCGTGGACGAGTTCGCTATACCCGCCACTCTTAAACTCTACCTCAGCGACTTTTCCGAGCTACCTTCGGTAGGGGGATCGGAACCAGTCGTAATTCCTGGAATAAGATGCTCCGAGTCGTGGGATTGATTGCGCTTTAGGAATTTATTCAGATTATATAGGTTACATGTATAGATAATAGTATGTAGTATGTAGCATAGGTTTTTAATATTGGCTGAATGAGTGTGAAAATAGATTTATGTTATTTATGATTTTTTTGTTGTCCTTAATTCTGTAACATTTCACAAGTTTACAATTTACACGACACTCATGTGATATTAACTTTCTTAAAATGCAATACAATTTTTTAACAAAGTTCTCCCACAATTGCGGCGTTTTCGAAAGCCACTTTTGTGTGATAATCTTGTTGGGGCACAGGTTTTTAGTTCTTTTGTCTAAATCACTTTAATAGTTTGTTTATTAGGCATTTTAGTCTGTATTGATAATTTATATTTTGAATTATGCACTAGGATATTTTTCTATGCCAATATTAAGATAACTTTCATCATATACAAACGATCTCACACACAATGCAAACTCGAGGGAAACGAATGCAATTTCTAGATTAGGATTTTACAACGATGTCGGGAGTAATTTTATAGACAAAACTGTTGACGGAATAAACAAAACGAAGTTTTAAAAGAAAATTCAACTTTTTAGTGCTTAAACTACTTTAAATACATCAATGATGAAGGGTAAGAGCAACGAATAGCCCTCCCAGGAGCCCTAGGGCTTCAGCAGTAGCTTGAAGTCATCGTTGGCGTTCTCCATAATGTATTCAAATGCGAATTTGTCTTTCTTATCCTTGACGAGCTTCAGCGCTGGCTCCTTCTGCAACAGAAAGCGGCACACCTCTAAATGGCCCCGCAGCGCCGCCCGATGTAGGGCACTCTGCCCACACTCATCCTGCAGCAGAAGATTAGCCTTGTTTTCCGCCAGCAACTTTACGATGTCCAAGTGGCCTGTGGGGATTAATTTGCAAAGTAAACAAATGGTAATTAAAACTACAGTATTGGACTCACCCATCATGGCTGCTCGGTGGAGAGCGGTGGCCCCTGCCTTGGTTACCGCATTCACATCTGCCTTGCCCTCGTCGATTAGCAGCTTGCAGATTTTCTCGTTTCCATTGCGAGCCGCATAATGCAGAGCCGTATAATCGCAGTCGTCCCGTGCCATGGACTGTCCCTTCTTAATGAACTCTTTCACGCGATCCACTTCATTGTAGATGGCTGCAGACCAAATAGAAGCCAATTTAAAGAGTGTCGATTAGGGTAAGTATCGAGTTACTCACCCGCATTCCAGATGCCCCGATCGAAGTCCATGTCGGTGAGGGACTGCTGTGCCGGTAGCGACTGCTTGTGGCACTTGCAGTTGTCTGCGCTGTGTTGATCCATATTTGCCTGCTTATTATTTCGAGTTAGTATTGCGTTGTCGAATTCCTTTCCTGGCTGCTTTCGATTCTAGTTATCTGACGCTTGACAATGTGATCAATGAAGTCTAGACCTCACGCTGCATGGTCCAACAGATTTCAGCTTCGCCGCAACTGCAAGTGACCTTATAGCTTAGCTGGGCAAGAGTGTTCAGCATAACCATCGGTGGCACTGCCACCATAATACCATTCACGCACGGCTTTACGCTCTCAAAGCGTTTGGAAAGGGCCTGGATTTCGGCTTGATTCAGTCCGAAGACGGTGCAGGTGTAGTCGTGCAGGGATCCCTTGACGGTGATGTAGGCGAAATTGCCTTCCGACTGCAGTATGGGCACCGGAATAGTCACCACATTGGCAGTTGGTGGACAACTGGCAGCAGCGGCGGCAGCAGCAGCTGTGGCGGCGTTCAGGGACACAGACGATGCACCGGACTGTGAAATGGTCGGCGGCAGAGGCAATTCACTGTTGAGATTCAGAGATTCCTTGGTCCCGACCACGCCCTCACTCATAGTTTGTCCGTCGTTTGGAACGATTTCGGTCGCCTCTTTCACTCGTAGTATGTTTTGGAATACTTTTCCCTAGGTTGCTATAGTTTTCTTGTTTTTTTTTCCTCTCTTCACTTCCTCTACAAACACACGGAAACACGCAATTGCACACACCCTACACAGTCAATCACACACAAACATACACTAAATTATACAGAGTAGAGTTGCGGAGTGGATTCCTTATTCGGGGGAGTCCACCTTGTGATAGTTGCCTAAACTGGCTGCCTCCCGGCCTATATTCGATAGATTTTCGCGGACCACGGACTCGGCCTCCAAGGGTTCGGGCTCGTCGAACTCCTTGCGCATCGTCCACATGTACTCGTTGTAGTCCTGTTTCACGGCCGTCGATGAGCTGGCCACTACACGGAAACCCAAAATCTAAAATGGACAAACTTCATGAGTCAACTTCGATAGGCATTTCGAGGTTAGACTTACCTCAAGAGCCGATAGAATGCGACAAGGATGCACTAGGTAGACGATGGTGGACTCATCACTGTAACCGCCGCACGAGAACTTGTTCAACTGCTCGATGTCGTCAGCTGAAATAGGGAATTCGGTGGGTTATCATGAAGTGCTATATCTTGGGTAATGGCTTTCCATTTCGTTTACTAAAGGTCTCAACAGAACAAACAAAAGATAACATGGCTTTGACGGACGATGACGTCAGCCTCAGGGCCATTGTCTTTCGATATGAGTGCGCTAATTAAGCAAAAAGTACAAATATATATCTATGTATATTGACTGCCGTTTCATAATATAAGCAAAATGTGAGTTTTCGTGTGGTCTTCGTCTGCCATAGCAAAGTGCAATGACTCTTGGCAATACGGCGAAGATAAAAAAGATCCATAAATATGCAACTGAATTGAATATATATGCGGTGTAAATATATACTATATGTATGTATATACCGATGTACGTTGTTTTATATATCAACTTCAGACCGGGTCTGCGAAGCGAACTGCACTCAGCGAAAAACAAAACGAAACTGACGACGACGACGACCCCATCCGTGGGAGCAGAGCTTCGCACAGTGGGGGCCATAAAAGTAGCAGAGTGTGGAGCGAGTGGTGGAGTGTCATGGCATGCAATTTAGGAGCAGCTGTTGATATTGAAGAGGTGGAGAAATTCAGGTGAAGTGTAAGAAATACTATTTGTTTGTGAACCATTTATTTTTTGTGAATATTTCAATAAAGGCATGCATTTCATTCAAAAATTAAAACCTTGAAAAAAAATTAAGAAAGTAACAAGACCTTGCAATAATTTGTTTTTTTTTCCCGCCACTGTATAACCATTCAAAAAGTCTTTTGTAGTGCAAAGTAGCGTAAAAACGACCAAAAACTAACACTTAAAAGCTAGTGTGATGTGCTTGTATGCGTAGAAGTATCTGTGTATCTCGTGTATCTGTTTGTCAAGCTCTCGAAATTAATTGTGTCGCAATAGTAAACACACGACAAACAAAAAAACAAAAAAGAAACTATAATGTTGAGCTAAACAAAAAAAAAAACTGTTGGATTTCTACGATTGGAAATGACTTTTACCATTCAATCCAGAGACGAGCACTCGCCATGGATATTTGTGACTGTAGGAGGCTAGGTTACCTCGTATGATAATGTACGGCATTTGGCCTGATTGCCTTTGGGCTATCTGGGTGTTTAATTAGCGCGGGAGTGCCAACGAAAAACCAACGATAAAAAAAACTAAAATATATTCGTAAAATGAGAAACTAGAGAGGCTCGCTCTGGTCTGGAGCTGTGGAGCTGCTGAGGGTTGGCTCACGACTGAAACCGAATTTGGTTTCGGTTTTGACGTTTTCACCCAAGAGGTTTTCCCAGCAATGTTGTTGTTGTTGTGGTTGCCACAGCCTTAGCCGCTGTTGGTTGGGCTTATTATTTATAGGCGTCGCGCAGCGTGGCTCTCTGAAATGGTTAGCAGCTTTTTATTGGATTAGCCTACAAAGTAAGGTGGCAGATAACCAAATGACAAAGTGACGCACACGGGTCAGGATAATCATCAATGCGATACAAAAACTAACCAGGAGCGAATTCAACAAATAATAACAAATTTGGATTTAAAAAAAATGATGAATAAAATAATGTGTATTAGACTAATAAGCTTAGATATAAAGATCGTCATCAGATCATGTCTCATACTTGTTTTTAATAAGATGATACAATATTTTTGAATCTTAAAAACTGGATTTCCACATATGACACTTATAAAAGAAATTTAGGAACCTGATACGAAGCTTTATGTCATGGATTTTATTTTGAAATTCTTTGAATTCCCTCTATCTTTCGGATCCGTCACTGCGAATGAAACAATTCCTATTCCTACTTAGTTCTTATACACAGACACACCCCGCGACCAGTTGCATGCCAAGCTTTAGTCAGGGCCTATAATTACTGGCCGGTCGACTAATGAGAAAGTATTTTTGTGGCACCATGTGAAAAAATAAAATTGCGAAATAAAAACCCACCCAAGCCGGTCAACAACTCCCACAATCACACACAGGTACATCGGCTCCTATGTACATATGAACGTATACGTACTGAGAAACGCACCTAAATACACAGCCATTCCACTCAAGGGTCCTTTGCGTGTTTGGGGCTCACAAAATGAACGGGAATTATGATCAAATTTCTAAATAAATAAACGCGCGGCTCCAAATGGGGTTTATGCCACAGCTGTCGCAAAATGATGTCATTTGAATTTAATTATCTTCGTTTTTATTTTTTATAGTTTATGTTTTTTTTGTTGTCTTCTGTTTTATGGAATTTGTACACCTTTCCTTTTAAAATTCTTTTTTAAAATTTACCTGGGCTACTAAATGTGATGTTATTTTGCTGCCTACAATGCACTTTGTGCTCTGAGCAATTAGAAAATCCACTTATTTTCCCGATTTTGTTAATTTTGAAGAGAGTCAGAGAATATATAAGGCAGGGCTGACAAAGTCCCCAGATAAATCGAGTTTCTTATCGATAGTTGAGCTTTTGAGGTCTAGAGTTGCCTTAAGACTTTAAGTATTTAAACTTGATTTTTTTATATTAAATTTTTGTTTATAAAATGTGATTAAATCAATAATGAATTTAATATCTACCTTTATCATCCCAATTAAAAAAATCTCTTTTAAATCTAGACATTTTTTTATTCCTTAATGTTACATGATTAGGCGGTCCACTTGAGGCAACGTGTGTCCTGGTGAGTGTTCAGGCACCTGACACGGCAATAGCGGGTTCCACAAGCTGTGCAGGAGTAGAGAGAGAAGTTTCCGCACACGGCGCAAAAGTGACGAACTGGTTTCTGTGGTGGCGGGGCGGAGGCGCTCTCGTAGTTGGGCTGCTGCTTATCCTCCTCGAGCAGCTGCTGGAAGTTCTTGCGGTACTTGGCCCGGAAGTACTCGGCACCTTTGCGTTTGTTCTTCTTATCCTTGGCGGTCTTAACGTTATCTTGAAACTTTGGCACCTTCTTGGACATGACCAAGTCGGCGTGTGGGTCATCATGGAAGTTGTCTTGTTCGAGAGCCTCCAAAGCCTTGCGGGCTCGACGCTGTCGGGCGGCGACGTCCAGGACTCGCTTCTTCTCTGCATCCTTAATGCGGTTGGACTCGCGACCCGTCATTGTTGTTACTTTTAGTTTTTGTGTTTTTTGTGGAAAGTTGGGGGGTATGTGGAGATTTATGCGTCCTTATCGTGTAGCGGGAAACTGATCCGGTCCATCAAGTCGTCCACGCGAGCCTGCAGAACGTCAACAATGTCCGTGGAGATGAACAAATGGTTCTCGTCCAGATCCTGAATGATGAATTTTCGCCCCAGAGCTAGCTTTTCGTCCAAGTGCAGCAGGAATTGTTTCATAGCAGGATCACTGCAACCAAGGCGATTGAGCATAACTTACTTTCAATAAAGGCACACACTTACCACTCAACCAAAACTCCTTTCATAACATTTACCATGTTTCAAGCATTTATTTTCTATTTGCAATGATTGTGCCCTTGCTCTTATCGATAAATGTTTGTTTCAGCTGTTCAGAGTGACCAGGTAAACTCAATTAGCCTCCGCTCACTCTGTGTGGTCACACTTGCTAGGCATCTTCCTCCTCGGCTTCTGTGTAAATAAATAAACGATTTTTGTTTTAAAATGTGCCATAGCATCTAATCGTGTGAATTGAACCAGATATCATTTGAATTTTTCTGCCAATAGAACAAAATATAACTCCAACTCATTAATTGATAAAGGATTTAGAAGAACCATAGACTGGAGAAACAGCTGTCGGTTTTCTGGGTGAGTATTTAAATTCGAAAAAAAGATACTTCTTTGAATAAATCGGAATTTGCATATTTCAGCCGCTGGCGAAAGGTGAACAGAGTTCATTAGGGTCGGCGCTGTTACGCCACCAACACTAAAGTGCCTGTGTGCGTGAGAGATCTGAAGACGCTGCGTTGCCAAAAAAGCAAAACGAGAAAGAAACGGAAAGCGGGAAGCTGTACACACACCGCTCGGCATAATCAATTAAAATGTCTGCGAATAGGAACCTGCCCCTCCTCCCTCTGGTCCTATGCGTTGTGGCCTTTATTGCCGCTGTGGGACCGATGCCTGCCTTCGGAGCAGTGGCCACTCACAAGCACGAGAAGCATCTGAGCAAGGAGCGGGTGAAGGACGGTATCTACGCTCCTCGGGATGCCCATCATCACGGCGAGGATGGAGAGCACAACGTGGAGTTTGATCATGAGGCCATCATCGGTGAGTCACCAAAGAATATGATTCCTTGAAGGAATCTATCATAAATCCTAAAGGATAATACCCAGAACATGGTATTCTTTGGGATAATTTGTTCCGAAAGATCCCAAAGATATTTGCGGATAATAGATATAAAAATTTCCTTTTAAATTCGATCGGAAACTGAAAGTGGAATACATTTTCCTCTGTGCACGATGATCAGTATTGTTTATTTTCCTGGGGTTTATTTTTATTTGCCTACACTGAAAAAAACCGACAAAGAGAAACGTTCTATACGTGATTGAATAATTTTAAACATCACATACAAGTATGTTACACACAAGTATTATTTATTTTAAATATTTCATGTTTGTTGTTTAATTTCTCGAAGTGTACCAAATGGAAGATCATAAAAATGGTTTTTCTAAAAGCACCGCGTCATCGGTCATACCTTCTGTTTTATGTTCCGTTCAATTTTTCAATAATATGCTTGAATATTTTTTTGGAAAAACAGGAAACACTAAGGAGGCCCAAGAATTCGACACACTTACACCGGAGGAGTCGAAGAGGCGGCTCCTGATTCTCATCAAGATGATGGATCTGAACAAGGACGAGTTTATTGATCGGCACGAGTTGAAAGCTTGGATATTAAGGTCCTTTAAGTGAGTGTTGTCTGTTAATTAATACTGCATCGATGTCAGCCAAGCAGTTAACCGTCTTTTAATGCTTCAAGTTGCAAAACTGACAATTTTAAATGTAAAATAATTGTTGCTTTTACAAAACTAATCCAACACCCTTACAGAAAACTATCCGAGGAAGAGGCTGCTGATCGTTTCGAAGAAATCGACCAAGATGGGGACGAGAAGGTTACATGGAAGGAGTATCTGCAGGACACCTATGCAATGGAGGACGAGGACTTCAAAAAGGAGACCATCGACTTTGAAAGCTACGAAGATGAACAGAAAATGATCAAGCAGGACAAGGAAATGTTTAAGGCAGCCGACACAAACAACGACGGTGTACTATCCCTAGAGGAGTTTAATGCTTTTAACAATCCCGAAGACCATCCGGCAATGTTGCCCATCATGTTGGAACATACAATGCAGGACAAAGATCAGGACCACGATGGAAAAATCAATTTCAAAGAGTTCGTGGGCGATGCGGCTGCGCATCATGACAAGGAGTGGCTAATTACCGAAAAGGAGCGGTTCGACAAAGATCACGATGTGAACGGAGACGGTGTCCTCACTGGTGAGGAGGTTTTGTCCTGGATAGTGCCAAGCAACGCTGCCATAGCCTCGGATGAGGTTGATCATCTATTTGTCTCCACCGATGAGGATCACGACGACAGACTTTCGTACCTAGAGATTCTAAACAATTACGACACCTTTGTGGGGAGCGAGGCGACCGACTATGGAGATCACCTCCAAAACATCAACCATCTATCCGACGAGCTGTAAAATCAGGCATGCCGGTCTCATGCTGTGGCGTTACTGTGCTTAGTATTCTCTTTCATTTATATACATAGTTAGTAAATTTATGTTTATTTATGTAAATTCAAGTGACATTTTGTTTTGAGCGCTTCTTAATAATTTCATTTCCATGTCTTAGTTCTTGTTTTATCCATGTACCAATTACATTATGTGTAGTTTAAATAGACACCAAAAAAGAATCTACAATAATCATAATAATGTAATAAATCATTTTTACTAAATTATTTCGGGTGTTAGTACATTTAAGTGTAGATTTATTTAAATTTCCAATTGCATTGTTATTTTGCAATTTACGACTAGAATGGTTTTCCGATTACTTAAGCCTAACTTGCCGACTGAAATTTTACAAAATTAGCATTGCAGCGTGTTGTTCTTTTTGACTAGATTTCACACTCATCTCATGTATTGAAAAATATGCTTAGCTCTATGTCCTAATTTAGCGTAGAGCTGTATGCTCTTCAAGCCCCGAAGTACGAGTTGTTTCTTTCGTGTTCTTATATCACAAATATTGCACCGAATTGGCCTATTTCCCCACATTTTTGCTAGAAATTTTAACAAAAAAAAACGAATTAAACAGAAAAATCCTAGAAACAACTAAAGAACGGATTATCTAACCCCTATGGATAATGCCAGTTGCTTAACAATACATATATGTAGTCCACAAAGCACTTTTATACAAAATACGTTGAGAAATTTACACTCATTCCAGAGGCATCGCATCGTATCCGATTGCATCTGCGCTCTGCTTGATGGCACAACGACATGGATTCACGGGCCGCTTATAAATTATAACTTAGTATGCACATCTCCAGTGGATTCACCTGGGGGATAGGACATACTCTATATAGACTTAAGATTAACCTGCGGCATCCCTAACTCTGAAACGGTTGCGGATGCTCCGAGATGCTCTAAAGATCACACAATATATCGTAGTTGTCTACCTGACGAAGCGGCTCCTTGTCGTCGATGACCTCGCTGAGATAGTCACTGATGGGCAGCGGCAGCTTTAAGCTTTTCCAGACGCGACGTACTGCGGACACGACGCATGATCACCGCTCGACACCGATCCTGGAGGCTAACGAACTCCCTTCGGGTGCACTTCAAAGTCATCTCGGTCTTGGCCGCCGTGGAGCAGACAATGGGATACAGTGGCTCATCAATCTGTGCGGGAAAGATGGTAGTTTCAGTATTGGACTCATTACTCACATAATCAGTGGCAACCTACCTGGTTCAATCCTCGGAAAGCTACACCCAGGCACTTGCCGTCCTTGTAGTAGGTAAGGGTGCCCTCGATCCCGTCAAAGAGCACTCCTATTTGGGTGGGATGGTTCTCGCGAAAGCGTTTCGTGTAGAGCAGGGCCACACCTTTGTGCCAGAGGACACCCTTATGGGAGAGCCCCCACCCGTGCTCGTTCTCGCCGAGCATGTTGCGAAAGGCGTTGGCGTGTAGACGGGCGGACTTGGTGCCGATCCCGAACATGATGGACGTGCCGAATACGCGCTGGGAGACATGCAGCTCCCAGTAGTGGCGGCCATTGTTCAGCGGTCGCTTGCCCTGCACCCCGGCGGTGCCCTTGCTCCAGTTGGGGTGGAAGTGAACGGTTCGAGAGTTGGGACCACTGAGCACCACCTCCTTGGACCGGTGACGCTTGCTCCACGTCCAGTTGTCTTCGACGCCCTCCATAAGTGGACAGACCCTAGCCGTTGTAGACGATGATGGCGACGAAGGCGACGCTGCCTGAGATGCTGCCTCCTGGGCGGAGGGATGCGCCGATAGGCAGCCCCCCCCTCGTCGCCCGCTATGGCGTCCTCTTCTCGGAGTCATCGCCAACTGCTGCGGCTGCTGATGCGGAGGATCCACTTCTAAATCGGACATGGTTGGGTAACTAGGAAATTTTGCTACTCGATTTCAATTAATTAACGAAGGCAATGCCAATGCTGTCACTGGAAATCTGTCAAGTGGGTCTTGGTCTGCTTGGATGAGAGTTGCTTCCTTTTCCTTCGAAATCCTTTCAAGTCAAAGGAGTGTTACCAGTCCTTTAAAGTCCTCATCGAAAAGAAACAAAGCCTACAAGTGAGTGGTTAGAAGTGGTCGGTTATCCTCTTCCGTTTCTTCCTGTTCGTCCAAGCCCTCTGGTTGCCCTTCCTCTTGCGGCAAGGGAGTCTCCTCCTCAAACACCTCGTTATCCTCTAGCACTTCCACCTGCTCCTGACTGCCAAAACTGGCCAAGGATCCGTAGCCACTGCTCAGAGAATTGGTGCTCCAACTGGCACTTAGTCTCAGGGGACGATAGCTTCTAGCCTGCTGCTGTTGTTGCTGCTGCCCGATGGTTCTCTTCAGCTCCCGCTTAATCCTCCGAAGCTGTCGGAAGTCCTGGTCACCGCGAGTGCCCCGCTGCTTATGGAGCTGCAGCTCCTGCAGATGGAAGTGATGGCGACAATAGCCCTGGGGACTGTGGGCACAGAAACGACAGGCCTCCGAGTTGAGGCCACCGACGAGGGGTAGGATTGGCTCGAGGATGCGCCGCTTCTGGCTGCGCTTTAGCTGCTCCAGCTGCTGCTCGGCCAGGCGTTGGGGCGCCTTACGATCGCCCACCGTCTCGGCCACCTCCTGGAGCAGGCGGACGTTCTTCGGGAAGCATCGGTCGTGGACGTAGAGCACCAGACGTTGGCAGTAGAGGCACAGCGATTGGAACAGCAGCAGCAGAACGATAATCATAAATAGGGGTTGCGAGGTGTTGGAGGACAAAAAGTTGATTTTATCTGGGGTTGGCTATCTGATCCAGACCGTCCTTCTTTTCCAGCACTTCCGGTTTCTGGTTTACCAAAGTTTTAGCAGGTCTGGTGTTTCTTTTAATGGTTTGGATAGTTTTTTCCTTAAATGGACACTTTATTCACCGTTCCCATTTGGGTACACACATTTTTTTTTGTCGGGCACCTCCACCTCCTGAGCTCCCAAAAAGCTGCTCCGCTTATCTGCCTGAAGTTGTTGTAACTCCCACCGACGACTCCGCTTCCGTCCAAGTCTCGATGGCTTCTGGCCTCTTCCTCGCCTCTTTGTGCGTTGGCTCACTTTTCCAAGTTGAAGCCACAAAAGCCTACCCTTATTTTTCCTCAGCTGGAATCGCAGCGGGCTGCTTCCAACCACCAACTATGTGGACTATGTGTATGTGTGTCTGCATGTCATTATCATATGTTATAAGTACGCCAACCCCTCGGCAGCTCTCCAAGCCTCGTCTCGACCCCAAAACTGTGCCTGTGCCACCACCCCCACACACAGCCCAATCCAACCCAACCCCCATTTATGGCACTTCCGAAGAGCGAGTCATGCGCACAAGTGCACGTGGTGAGTTGGTTCTCATCCTCGCCTTGGCATTGCTTCCATTTAAGGGCTCTCCACCGGGGTTATCCACCACAAAAGCTAGACCGACTGAACCCTTGTTTTTTGTTTCCTTTTTTATGCTCTAGTTGCCGATCTAACCACCTTTTGTTTGAGGTATCTTATGACTTTGATTTTAAACAATATCCATAGTTTTCAATGGTAAAGAAAATTAAATATTTTCTAAGGGTTAGACGGGAATATTGTAAATAAAATATATAGAAGTATGAGAATCTTCTCTAGAAGATGGGGTTTTTAGTAGAAATCTTAAGCTGCAAGCTATAGCTTTCTAAAAAAACAATTTTTCGAACTTAAAAATAGATGGTTTTCCACTTTGGAACAAAGAAAGATTGTATCTATCTTAAGCTTAACTCTTTACTAAATTAATAAACATTTAAATAAATATAAATATTGTTAAAATGTATTAAGTTTTTATTAATTAATACTTTGATTTAAAGAACGAAGCTAATATTAATAAGTACTTACTTTATAAAGAGAGAAGAAGGTATGACATCTTAAAGAACCTTACATTTGGTATACCCTCCTTAAAATATTAAACTAGAACCATAAATTTGGTACACCCTCCTTAAAATATCAAACCTTTATAATATTTTATTTTTAAAAATTTTCTTTATTTTACCATTTTTTGTTTATTTCATAAACGTAAACAATAAGCGACAAAGTTGTGTTTAGCAGTTGAGGAGACGGTCTATGTCAGTGGATAGATTTCGATAATCGTTATATGGTATTCTCTCATATATAATGCATTCATTCGCATTTAATCGGATGCTAAAAAATGGAACGTGCCTTGATGGAACATTGATGGTATACATATAGTACATATTATTATTGTTTTTTATTTTTTGTGGACATACGACCGTGGCTAGTTTATTTCTTTCATTTACTTAACTTACGTAACGTAACTTAGAAGCAGTTTACATTTGTTTAGAACATTAATTGGCAGATACAAAAATGGCATTAAGGTCCCGGGGTCAACATAGCACTTTGACCTATCCGATCCCTATTTTCTTTGTTTTTTTTTGGTTAGTTTAAGGAATTTGTAGCAGTGTTGGTTCGTCTGTGTGTGTTTGTTTGTTTGTTTGTTTGTTGTTTTGTGTTGTGTGTTCGTTGGTATATTTAGGGCTTTACATTTAGATTAAACTTATGCTGTGCTGGGGTGTCTGTGAGGTGCCTGCGGATCCGATCCGGTCCTACGACGAGTTCTTCATGCAGACTTGACACCTGGAGACGCGGGTCAGCAGGTTGCCGGCCTTGATCGTCTGCTGTTCGGGCTTCTGGAACTGATCGTTGTTCTCCAGAGTGACCATCCAGAAGCTGGTCATCGTCTCGAAGAAGTGGCAAGTACCCTTGGCGCCGTTGCACTCGATGAACGGAGTGGCACGGAAGTCCTCCAAGCAGGAGCCAGGCGATTGCAGCGCCTGACCACCACCGCCATTACCCACGGCAGTGTGCTAAAAAATACAAAAAAAATTATTAGTTTTTCTGTTTAAGAATTTGTAACAATAATCCTTACCATAAGGAAACTGTAGCCGATCCAGAGACCCTCCCAGCCGTTGGGGCAGTTGGGAATATCCAGAGACTGACTGTGCACGGCGATTACGTTGGCAGGCGCCTCGCAAACGACGCAGCGGGAGATGTACTTGTTGATCTCGTAGTTCTCCACGGGCATCATCGGCAGAGGGGCGGAGGTGGACAGCCAGAAGGTCTTGTCGTTACGCGACGCGTAGTTGCAGATGTTATTCTGGCCACAGGACAGCATGGGCAGTGTTGAGAATTTGGGCACACAGGATCCGGGCGAGCCAAGGTCCTGGTTGTGACCATAATCGTTGCCGTCGATATACAGCAGAGAGTAGCCGGTCCAGAGTTGAGTTTGTCCCGCGAAGCACGTGGGTACCTGCTCGCTCTGACTGTGACGGGTCACCAGGATGCCGGTGAGGTAGTCCAAAGCGGCGGTGCATGGTGCACCTGGCTCTCCCTTCAGGCCCTGCAGACCGATGGCACCTTCCAGACCAATCAGACCCTGCTCTCCGCGATCACCCTTGGGTCCGGGACGTCCGACCAGACCGCTCTGACCGATCAGACCACGCTCTCCCTTCTCACCACGCTCGCCCTGGATTCCGATCAATCCCCTTTGACCCTCTGGTCCGGGCTCACCCTTCTCTCCGTCACGGCCTGGCTGACCAGGCTCTCCCTTGGGTCCAGGTGGTGGTCGTACACCGGGCTCACCCTTCTGGCCGGGCTGGCCAGGAATGCCATCCCGTCCGTTGAGGCCCTTGGGTCCGGGGAAGCCGCGCTCGCCGGGGGCACCCGGAGGTCCATCGGATCCGTTCAAGCCGGGATAGCCAGTATCACCCTTGGGTCCAGTAGCTCCAGCCAGACCAGGAGGTCCTTGGTATCCCTGGTCGCCCTTAGCGCCCTTCTGTCCAATTTCTCCAGGCTCACCACGGTCACCCTTGATACCCTGGTATCCAGTCTCACCCTTAAGTCCAGCAGCGCCGTTGAAGCCATCACGTCCAGGTTGACCGGGACTACCGGTCAGACCACGCTCTCCCTTGGCACCAGCGGGGCCGACACGTCCAGGAAGACCAACCAAACCCGGCTCTCCGGGCAAACCAGGCAGACCGCGATCACCCTTGATGCCAGGAGGTCCAGTGATTCCTGTTTTAAGGATAAAAGATAAAGGTTCATAAGGATCCAACGTAGATCTCTTTTGTGAACTTACCCTCACGTCCGTGCTTGCCTGAACGTCCGGGCAGACCCTTCTCACCCTTGATGGACTGACCAGGATAGCCAGGCTCGCCTTGAGGTCCGATATCACCCTTCAGACCAGGAGCTCCATTCAATCCATTGAGACCACGAGGTCCCTCCAAGCCTTGGTCTCCCTTCGCTCCGGTGTAGCCGATCGCGCCCTGAGCTCCTTGCTCGCCGCGCTCTCCCTTCTGTCCGGTCAGACCGATCTCTCCACGCTCTCCCTTGTCGCCTCGCAGTTTCGGAATATCAATAATGGCGGGTAGACCGGGCTGACCACGGGGTCCACGCTCGCCCTTAATGCCAATGGGTCCGGGGTATCCTTGAGGTCCAATCGGTCCGGTTTCACCCTTTAATCCATCCAAACCGGCAAGTCCAGCATCTCCCTTATATCCTTGAGCACCGGGGTAGCCAGGGGCTCCAGGAGCACCCTGTACACCTGGCTGACCATCGAGTCCGGGTTGTCCGGGGTTACCGGCCAGGCCGGTGGCTCCTTTATCGCCCTTGACGCCCCATACACCAGCGACACCTTGGTCTCCCTTCTCTCCGTTCACGCCATCCGCTCCATCAAAGCCATTGCGTCCGGTGTCACCTTTCTCGCCCTGGGGACCAGGACGGCCGTGCACAGGCACTCCGGGCAAGCCCTTCTCTCCGGGTAAACCTGGTTCGCCGGTAAGTCCCTGAATTCCTCGCAGTCCAGAGATACCTGGCTCTCCCTTTTGTCCCTTTTCGGAGGCATCACCAGGCAGACCAGGAGCTCCATCCAAACCAGGAAGACCCTGGTTACCTTTCTCGCCGTTCAAGCCGTCCAATCCAGGCTCACCGGGGGCACCGATTGGGCCTTGGTCACCCTTGACGCCCATTATTCCCGGGGGTCCAGGAGCACCCCGACCACCGACGGCTCCAGAGATTCCAGTTAAGCCAATATTTCCCTTCTCACCCTTTGCGCCTGAAAGTGTTAAATATTTGTTGAGCTTTCGCATGGGGGATATGAAAGACAACATTGTACTTACCGGGAACACCGGGAATTCCGGGGGATCCACGTTTACCAGGCTGTCCAGCGAGGCCGCTGAAACCTCGGGGTCCGTCGTTACCAGGGGCTCCACGATCACCCTTGTTTCCGGGCATACCGACCAGGCCAGGATTGCCGGGTTCACCCTTGGCGCCGTCACGACCACGTACTCCATCGATACCGGGTACACCGGGAGGTCCAGGAACACCGGGTGGTCCAAGGGGACCCACGTCTCCCTTTTCACCAACAGCACCAGTGCGGCCGGGCGTTCCGGGGAAACCAGCATCACCCTTATCTCCGGGATATCCAATACTGCCTTCAGCTCCGGGCAAGCCCTGAGGTCCGGGCTGGCCACGAACACCTTTCTCGCCTTGCAGACCGTCGAGACCCTGAGGTCCAGGTGGACCGGCCACTGGGATACCTTGCTCTCCCTTCTGACCACGTGCTCCATCGCGACCGGGCAGGCCACGGAGTCCGTTCTTTCCGGCGTTACCAGGGGCACCGATGGGTCCAGCGTGTCCTTTTTCGCCTCGCGGTCCAGTCAAGCCACGTGGTCCGACAGGCCCAACTGGGCCCTGGGGACCGGTGGCACCCTTTTCGCCACGTAGTCCGTAGTTACCCTTTTCGCCCTTCGGTCCTTCAGGTCCTGGCATTCCGGTCTCACCACGCTCTCCCTTGTTGCCCTTGGCGGGGATCTTAAGTTCGCTAGCCTCGCAGGTTCCGGGCTCTCCCTTCTGGCCGACATATCCAGAGGTACCCTTGTCTCCCTTCAGTCCATCATAGCCACGGGTACCAGGCTCTCCCTTGATGGTGAGGCCAGGAGCTCCGTTATAGCCGTCACGTCCCGGGGCTCCGGGAGTTCCATCAGCTCCGGGGAATCCGGTAAGACCCTTCTCGCCCTTGATACCATTTTCTCCCTTAATACCAGGCAGGCCAGGTACACCGTCACGTCCTCGTTCTCCTTTTACTCCTGCAGCGCCGGGATGACCGGGATTACCCTTATCACCCCTGAGAGGCGCCACCAGGCTCAAATCCTCAATAGCTGCTTCACCAGGTTCGCCAACAGCTCCGGGAACACCGGGTACGCCGTCTACTCCGCGTTCGCCGGGAGGACCCGTTTGACCGTTGATACCGTCAGATCCACGTTCGCCGGGATATCCTCGCTCGCCAGGTGGTCCACGTGCTCCAGTGTTTCCGGGAATGCCGTCCAAACCGCGGGTTCCCTTGTCTCCCTTTTGGCCCTGAGGACATAGCGAGCACTTGCCGCCAACATCACCCTTAAGACCCATTTCTCCTTTTTGGCCAGGAGTGCCGGGCCGACCGGCATCACCCTTCTGACCTGGTTGTCCAGCAATACCAGTCTCTCCGGGACGACCCAGTTTCGAATCTCCGGGAACACCAGCTACACCCTTGAAACCGCGCTCACCCTTGGCTCCAGGAAGTCCTGGACGTCTGGAAGGATACAAGCGGATTAAAATGTAACCTCAAAAATCAAAAAATAACCTAAAAATAAGAAACTTACCCAGGATATCCGTCGTTTCCTTTTGGTCCTTGAATACCATAGCCAGGCTGGCCAGAGTCACCCTTCTGTCCCTCGGGTCCCGGGGGTCCGGGGTGTCCAACGGGTCCGACCGGTCCCTGGGGTCCGTCTCGTCCACCGATACCTTTCTCGCCTTTCTGTCCGGGCAAGCCTTCGCCACCAGGACGACCGGGCATTCCAGTGCCTCCCTTTTGCCCAGGATAACCCTGAGGACCGGGCTGACCGTCGGCTCCATTCAATCCTTGAGGTCCAGGGGGGCCAGCATAGCCACGAGGTCCTTTGGGTCCAGAGGGTCCGGGGGTTCCACGGCCACCACCAGGAGGTCCAGGGGGACCGACCAGACCTTGCTGACCAGTCGAGCCAGCTCGACCGGGTTCACCCTTTTGTCCTGGGTTACCGGGCAGACCATTCAGACCAGTTTCACCGCGATCTCCCTTTTGGCCAGAAGGTCCTGGTTGTCCAAAGTTTCCTTGGCGACCCTAAAAACGAAATTGTAGTTTTTTTTTTTTAATTTTAATGTTAAAGTTAAATAAATTTGTATAATTTTTTATCAGAAATATAATAAAATATTACTTACACGATCACCTGGGCCGCCGGGCAGACCCTTCTCACCCTTTTGTCCATCCAGTCCAGTGTCACCGATCTGTCCAGCCTCACCCTTGCGTCCCGGCAGGCCAGGCTCTCCCTTTTGTCCATCATCACCGCGTGGTCCGAGAACGACCTCGGTTCCGGTTGTGGGCAACTTCACTGCCGGCTCTCCCTTCTCACCCTTGTCTCCCTTATCGCCGGGCTTCAGGGGCCCGAAGCAGGAGTCACCCTTCTCTCCCTTCAATCCATAGTCACCACGGGGTCCCTTTGCACCGTACGGGCCAGTGTCACCGCGCTCTCCCTTCTCGCCGGGAACACCCTGGGGTCCGGCATATCCAGATCGACCGCTGAAGCCGGGCTCACCCTTCTCTCCCTTGGCGTAGTTACCGTTCTCCTTGGCCGGCTCACCCTTCTCACCCTTGGCACCAGCTACACCGGGGTAACCGCGAGGTCCCTGCATTCCGGACAGACCCTGAAGACCGGGAAGTCCAGCACTGCCATCGCATCCGTCCTTGCCGTTCAGACCGGGAGCTCCTGGGTTACCAGCAGAACCGGGAATTCCGGCAATACCAGGTAGACCGTGCATTCCCTGTAATCCGCGTTCTCCCTTAGCACCACGTTGTCCGTATGGGCCGGGGTCGCCCTTCTGGCCCTTGTCTCCAGCCGGACCCTCGCTGCCGGGGAATCCTTGCGCGCCTTTTGGTCCTGTGGGGCCCGAGGGTCCTGGCAGACCCCGGTTGCCCTTTTCCGCTATACACTTGGGCACACAGCCCGCGTATCCGGCCGTACAGTTCTTCGGTAGCGGTGCTCCGCGCTGAACCGAGGCGGAGTCCACAATATCGTAACTTTCGTCGATGGGGAAACGTTGATCATCTTGATTCCTGGGCTGGTATGGCGGTTGAATGCCTCCGCTGCCAGATTGCCTCCAAAATTGCTAAAAAAAAAATATATGAGATGGGTTGATGGTTGGAGATGAATCCGGGAATAGTCAGGTAGTTATGTTATCTTACAGCGTCGGCACCGACTAACGCTCCAGCGATGACGGCGGCGTACAGCAGCCTGTGAGGAAGAGAACAAAAGATAAGAGGTTCATTAAAGTCTTATCAGTTCATTTTGTTGGAGCTCATTGTTCTCTTGGAGCCACTCTCTTTGCGGCTATCAATTAAAAAAAGTCTGCGCCTTAGAGCTTAAGAGAGCCACACGCAAAGAGAGCGATAGGTTTCAAAGAGTGTCAAGTGTCAAGGTATAAGAATAAAATTTTGAATAACGGTATTAAGAACTTAGTATAAAAAACTAAATAGTTTTTAAAATTTAATAAATAACTAGTCAAATATTATTTTACTTTTTTTTTTAAGTTTTTTTTCATAATTTGTCTAAAAAACGTGTTAAAAATTTCTTCTTTTAAAATTTGTTGAAAACCTTGTAATTTTCTAACTTAAAATAAAAATGGTTGAAAGATTTTTAAAATGGCCAAAACTTACCGCTTCCAGAAGGGCAACATGATGCCCTATACACTTAAGCCTGCACAATTAATTTCACAGTCCTCGTCGAGTTTTAATTTATATGTTGCCGTCGTTGGGCCTGGAAAGATGAGCCACAAAAATTGGGCACTTTAATTTCGCAAAAGTTGCAAAAAAATTTAGAATTTCAGAATGTGTTCGATATGGGCTTATGGGAAATTCTCTGACTTGGCGAAGTAATTCAAATTATGTTGTGGGAAAAATAATTCCACAACTTGGATCCAATTTCATTTTAAATATATTATTTTTTTTTTTGTAAATTTTAATTGATAAAATTATTTTTCTTTATTTGAGATAGTATTTCTTTGCGATTCATCGAATTTCAAAAGTTGTGTGACTTTTTCGACTGCGCTTGGCTGACAGTTTGAGAAGCACTGGAACAGACACAAAGATTGCACGAAGTATTGAAACGGCCTTTAAATGTGTGAATAAACCAAAGCCATCCACAAAACTAGCTGCTTTAGTTTTTATGCTTTAGATTTTGCAACGTTTTCCTCCTGCGATGGATATTTTTTCTATTTTTTTTTACCTAATAGCTCCTTTCAGAAACCGATCCAGCTGGATGGATCGACGGGAGCGAACTAAAATCACACAACCACAACCGAGCGCCGATCCGAACACACTATATTGAAAGGCAGCTGGTACTACTTACTCGGGGAGACGGAACACGACTAATTATAGTATAAGTTTTAGCGATCCAAAAGCCCATCGCCGATGCCCCGACTGGCCTCGTTTCGATTCGGTTCTGTTCGGGTTCTAACGATCGTTCTTCGGCCGATCGCCTCATGTACACTATCCGTGTGTCCGTGTGATCTGGATAATGGATCTGTATTTGTTGGGGGAAGGAAGGGGGGCTGGGGGACCTGGGGGACAGGCATGGGGCATATGGAGCGGATGGGCGGATGGTGGCGACGAACACACTATGTGAAGCAACACTAATCCGAGCAGCTAACATAGTCGGCTGGGGAATGAATGAAAAACTTGGCGATAACTGACTCTAAGTCGTTCCACCCCACTCCACCACCCGGTTGTTGTGGTTGATATGTGTGCGACATGCGCCTTAAGTTGCTCAATAAAAGCAATCCCAGTCACTGCTCACACTGCCCCCGGAACACCTTCCCCAAGCTCCATCTTCCATCATCCAGCTACCAGTTCCCAGCTTCCACATACAAGATCCCAGCTCCGCCGTCTTAATAGCTGATAGCCCTCGCCCTGAGATCGGGCACATGGTTTCCGTTTTGATGCCGCCCCTGCTGTGGTTCCAGCTCCGGGGACCCAAAGCTAATGCTAATGCTTATTTTTGGCATACAGTCTAAGGAATTCCAAGGTTTTCATTTTTAAGGTTTTGGAACTCGCACTTAATCTATTCGACGTGATATCGAAGTTCCTATTTTTGTACATTATTTATATATTTTTTTTAAATATTTTTTTAATATATCAGACTGTATTTTTAAGGGTCATAATAGGTCAAAACCATCGGTCAAAACTCGTTAATTTATTATTTTAATATAATCTTGGGGAATTCCAATACTTGTTATCAAATCCGTTTTAAAGGTCCATGATCTTTTAAAGGAATGATTAAAATAAGGCCTATTTTTTGACTTTGATACTTTTTGGCAAAAAAAAATATATAGGGTTTTATTAAAGTTTGTGTTAATATATAATATTATATAATACTATAAGATAAAATATTTAAAAAACAGTTTAAGAAGGGTTAGGTTTCCTTACTATCCATGTATTGTAAACAAAATATGTTAAATATAGAAGATAAAGGGATGTCGATTTTTGAAATATAAATACTTTAGCTACGAACGGATTAGATCTTTAAAAAATATTTATACCAATAGTTTAGGTTTTAAACATATTTATTATTTTAAAACTAATATTAGTAAATTATAAGCTTATTAAGAAATATTAAAATTTCACGTTGAGTTCACGTTCTCCTGTATATAGCACATCCGATGATTTCTAAAGCCCACCAAGGCTGAACCTACTTCTCCCTAATCTGAGCAACTTCCTCAAAAACTATCTATTTAGGCCACTAGGTCATATCCGACTTTCCCATACACTACTCTTGCCCAAGTGGGTCAAACCTTGTCTGGGTTGTCCTATCAAAACAACCATTTCAAAATACGATCGACCCCAAAACCCGAAATCAAGCTTGAATTTCGAAAGATTCTATTTTTGTAAATCTGCGTAGAATTTTATTGAAGCTTGGCAATACAGGCTTGGCAAGTAAGTACAAACGACTTGGAGATTTTTCTAACAGGAAATACGCAGTCGTATTATCCGTCTTATCAGCTCCACATATGGTATATAGTACTAAATGAAAAAGCCTTAACCTAATCACGAGAGTCGGGACAAACAAACAAGCATTACTAAATTGAAACCACTAGGAATTATATTGTTTGGTATTGAGACTTGAAAATACCCGTTTTTTTAAAGAACTATGTAGGTTCAAAATTAGAAATTTATTTCATAATGTTATAGAACACAATAGAAACTTTACCATACCTCGTAAAAAGCATATATTGTTGAATTGGAAAGATATTTCTTAAATAAAACACACCCATGACTTTAATATCCATAATTTTGGCGATTCTTATATCCTTAAAATGGTAATAATGGTAATAATATTTACAAATATATTAATATTTGTAGCTATAGAATTGTTTTCAAACATAGTCTTTTAGAAAAAAATATTTTAAAGGATTTATTTTATATATTAAAGTATTTAAGAAGCTAAAAATTGTTAAGACCTTTTATAAAAAGAGGCTACCAAAAATTGCAATGAAAAAAGTTTACAACAAATCTAAGTTGACATTTTTGTAAAAATAGTATTTTAAATTTTATGAATTTAAAAATTTATTTTGGTTTGAAAATTCAAATATTACTTAAGTTTTACATTATTTTGAATGCATGGTTATTAGACATATGTCAAAAATATGGTTAAGCTTAAAAATGAAAATTATATGCCAATATTTATTTGTTTAGTTATTATAACCAAAACTCGGACAAAATATATATGTTGGTCCCTAGATTCACTAACTAACTAAGAGATGAAAAGTTATAATATTTAAATTTTAAAAGATAGAAGATAGAAATATGGATAGATAGAAGATAGGATAGAAGAAAGTTTATTATTGTGGAAGACATGAAATACAAAAAGGATACCAGACCAGAAATGTGAAATAAATGTATGCTGTCTTTCCAACTTTAAGTTTCTACAAAAGAATGTAAAACTTTGTCAAAATAGCAAAATCTTAAAAAAGTGAATCCTTATCCATTCCTATTTAAATAAAATATAAAAATATATGTTAACACAACATTATACCCCTGTTTATAGTGGGTATTAGAACCCAAAATGGGAAATAGAATCTATATGCCCCGAAAGAACAAGTGGCTCGAACCGGGCAGCTTTGATTCGGTTAGCTGGCTCCGTGCTCCAATCCCCATTTCCTCGTTTCAAGGCGGCAAAGTGCTAAATTCATACAGCCCCACCTCCTCTCGCACCATTTTTTTTTCATTTTCCATCCGGGCCTGTCCCTGGCCTGTGCCGTCGCACCCACACATCGAAAAGCTCGCAGTGGGAGTGTATTAGTGGGCCGAACGACAATCGGTTGCACGAACGGCGACGATCGTGGCGAGCGGGCAACGAATTCGAATTTCTTTGGCGGGGCTCGTGTTTAGTAACACTTCCACTTCGAACGCTTGACGATCTCCACATGTGGGGAGTGTGCTGTGCCCGACGATCGCAGCAGCAGCAAATCAGCGTTTTCTGTTAGTTTCATTTACATTTTTCCACTAAATTATTTTCAAACGGTTTTTTAACTAATAATTCTTATATATTATTGTTAATTTTTTGAAATTTTCAAAATCTTCCTAACTTAATGTTTATTTCGTTCGCAGTATCGTGTGTGTGTTGAGAGAGAGTCAGACAGAGAGAGAGTCGGAAAGTGAGACAAAATAAAGTTTGTGGCTAGGACCAAAGGACCTATCGAAGATGTTACCCAGAGATCTACGGCATCTCTCGGGTCTGCTGGGCGCCGTTGTATTGCTGGCCAGCGTTGTGTCCTTTGCGGAGGCAAAGAAGGTAAGTCTTAGATCAAAGGGTTAAGTTTATAAAACCAAAATATATAGTTCAAATATAAGTTTTTAAAAAATTCCTAAAATTAACAATGCTTTTAAAACTGTAGGAAACTTGGGGAAACATTTCCTACTCAAAGTTTCTAGTATTCAAAGAGCTTGTCAAACTGTAAGATGATTCTGATTTCAGATTTTTATTAAAAATTAAATGCAGTAATATTTTTAATTAGTTAACATAAAATTGACACTGCAGTACACTTTAAAGGTGTTTTAAAAAATACTAAAAACACAAATTCATTAAATTATTATTTTTATTTATTTTTTATTTAAAAATTATCAACAAGTCACTAAAATTAGGTCAACTTGCAGTACTCAACTCTTAATCATTACAGCTATTGTTATTGTGAAATATTGCACTCCTTCGTATATTTCACATTTCCGGCGGATTCTGTTGCAACTCTTTGCCTTTTGGGAGATAATCTTGGGGACTTGGTGGGTTCAATCGGGTACCGCCGGGTTCGGGGACGGATTATGTCATTAACTTATTTTGCGAACCTATTTCAGTAGGTCACCCAGGTCAGCGATAATAATGAGCGATAACCTCTACTAATCTACAAATTATTTGATTTTTTGACCATACGATTCTGCCATTGAACGTTTCCGGTTAGCAATTAAATTTAATTATAGTTGATAATTGTAAGACAACGATTTGTTAATAATCAGTCGCTTTAGAAATGTTTTAAATAGAATTCAACAAAGTTGCCAAACTTATCCCCCTAAATAGCTGCCCCCACGTGTAGGCAATGGTTTTTGTAAACTGCTTGTAAAACTCAAAGTCACAAAATTTTAATTTTCAGACACTTTAACTCAAGCACTGAACTTTTGTTTATATAAATAATTAATCATAATTAAATTGTTTCCGTTTTTTGACACTTTGTGATGATAAAGGCGTTTTTTTTGGCTCGAATAGATTTCGTAAGAGCAGGGATTAAAAAAATGGAACACATGCCGGCGGCGCCTACTTTTAGATTTGAGCTTATCAGCCTTATAAATGGGCTGCTGCCCGCTGATCTACAAATTTAATTAGACTTATTGCTATGTTGGCGACATTGAGGCATTGATAGCATGTTTCGCTGATTGCGACATGAGTTTCAAGATTCTAATTTAGAAAATAGAACTCGAACAGTGTCGCCAACAGGCCCAGAGGCTATCACTGGATTTGGCCTGACTTTTGCCCGTTTTCAAGTTGCCGTTCAGGCTAATGCTTTCAGGCTCATTCGATGATTTTCAAACAATAATTTTTCATAATTTCTGTGCACTCAATTCATGGGATCTACTTTGGATCTACATCGCTCACGTGTTTGGCATCATAAATCCGTCACAAATGTGTGCAGCTCGTTTGACAACTCCAGTAATTTGATTCGCACTTCTTTTCGCACTCGGTTACGTGGTCAATGCCATGGGCCCTGGCTCAGTTAGACCCCAATTGCCCCAACTCCCCGATTCCGGGTGAGAGCTCCCCAGCTCCCCAGGTCTTGTGGCCTGGAGTTGGAAGACAAAACCGCAAAACGTTAATAAACTTGATTTCATTTGCTACTGTCGTTTTAGTTACCCTTTGGGGAAAAACGGCATTTATTAATATTGAAAAATGGTTCTTTTTTTTTATTAAAATTACAACTCAGATAAAAAAAAATGAGTCAAAAACCTGACATTGTAAAACTTAAGATTAACAGCAGGAAGTGCTAGTGAATTGCTTCCTTATTAGTAATGTTTTATTAAAAGCAAATTACAATGTAGCTTATCAAGAAATAGAACTTAGGTCTCTTTTTTCCATGTTTTTATTATTATTAATTAAAATAATTAAAGAGTATTTACCTTTAGTAACCTAAATCTTTAAAAATTACCTACCAATTCAGTTAACCATCATCGAGCAGCGCTTCTCAAACTATTTTGCAAGCAGTTGGCGGCTCAAATGATTTCCTTTTCCGCTGAGAAGAATAACAATCGGCCATTATTTAAGAGCAGCTTGCAGGCTAAAGTCTAAGAGAGCCAGCCCCAACAAGTGAGAGCACTGACACAGGCCAGAGAGACCCAGTAAACTTCTTCAACTGCAGCTGAGGCTGTTGCTTTTCTATGAATGAATTATTGATAAATTGCCTTTATCAGCGGCTGCCCATCCTCTCCGTCCCCTCCCATCCCCACTTTGTATTCAAATCGGCTCTTTGAGTCTCCCCTTTCTTTATTCCTCCTGCAGCTTCCAGTGCACTTGTTCTCGCTGCTATATATGGAAATGCCGTTATTGTCTGAGCATAAGTGTGCTTTTGAGTATTGGTTTGAGTGTGTGTGTGTGGGTGTGTGAGTGAGAGTGCCGACAATTAGCAACTTAAGTGATCGGTGAAGGGTTTTTCTCAGGGGGACTGCCGTTGGGGCTGCGGAAACCGAGGGAGGGGGATGCGGCAATCTTTTGACGTTCTGCACCATTTCAAATTGGAATTGAAAGTTGCTCGATTGTTTGTTGTTGCTTCTGCAAACGGCGGAGGCTGCTTCTGCTCTCGCCATGTTTTAGAAACTTTCCTGATGCACTGAGAGAAAAATAGGGTAAACAAGAAAAAAAAATTATAAACAAAATATTGGAGAAGTTTTGGATGCAGAGATTTACGATTAAATGAAAAATAATTAAAATCAAAAATAATTCTTATTCCTAATTTTTCTCTTCAACCCATTACTCCTCCCCTTTTTCTCGATCATCTACAATTTCAATTTCTTGAGGGACTTTGGCTCTTGTTGCTTATACCAGAAGAGATCCTGATCAGAACTGACCCGACTCAGGCATAAATCACTGACCAGTGGGATCGCCCAGACAGAGCGGGGCCAAATGGGGAATTAACACTCTGGTCTGGACTCGACTGGACCGCCCAAGAACAACAACAACAACAGCAGGGGCTGGAACAACAATGATCATCATCTTATGGGTTGGAGTCTTTGTGAAAGTTTATTTGCGTGCTTGAGTAGAATTGTTTGGCGAGTTGCATTTCAATTTGACTCAATTATTTATTTATCTGCAACTGAATGCGGAAATTATGCGAAGTCTCTTTAAGTTGAGAATATGTGTGTGATGGATATACATACATAGAACGTACAACATGTTGTATGAGTGATATGGATGGAGGACCACTTAGTAGCAGTCGTCGTCGCTGTAATGAATTTTGTAAATTGAAACGATTATTTATGAGCAAGTGCTGAAGAAACTCATGAAATTGGGTTATCAGTCATCTGTCTCATAACTGCAGCTCGTTGTTCTCCTTTTGCCATGTTATCAGTACTACTTGGCACTCAGTCAGAGGGACAGACGGACAGACGGTCCAGGCTTATGGAATTGATATTCATTAGAGCAGCTGAACTTTATACATATATTTAGACACACTATACACTTTAATAAAGACTGTCGGTGGCTGTGTGTCCGTTGCTGAGATTCCATTTCAAAAAGCAAACGTCATGGCTAAAAATAAATTAGCTTTATTTGTACACATTTCACCCAGAGACCAGCTCTCTAAGTTGACTTTCCAGACTTTTGATTGCCTAAATTATTGGCAGAAAATTGAAAAAGATAGCCATTTCGTTGATAACTCGACGATTTTTGATTGGGTTTAATAAACTAGATGGATTTTAGTGCAAAATTTTATGGAGAAAAATTAAAAAAGTTTAGAACCCATAGAGGACTTTGCTTTCTTTATAATTCTTACCATTTTTATACCCTTGCAGAGGGATCTTAAATCTTAACTTTATAGGAAGGGTTTTTGAGGGGCTTAGGAAAAAGTATAAGAACTATTAAGCCTGGGAAATTTTTGGTTCCTCTATAATCCTTATAATTTATATTCCACTATAAAAGATAACTATCAAAGAAACTATTAACTGCAATATGAATTCTACTTTTCCATACCTGGGAGAAAATCTGGGAAACTCATATATCATTTTTATAATATTATAACTTCCTTCCTATATATATAAGGGAAGGATACTAGAAAATGATGAAAAATAGTAAAAAACAAGAAAGGAATGCTAACTTCGGGCGGAGCCGAAGTTTATATACCCTTGCAGTTAAAACCGGATATATATCGCAAACATCGGATATAGTTGGCCGATCCTTATGGGAATAGGAATATATAATCAAATTTATTACAATACAAAATCTAAAAAAAGTCCCAAACTTCTATCTTCAAAAATACCAAAGTTGGTATTTCTACCAAAAACCATTACCGATCGTTCAGTTATATGGCAGCTATAGGATATAGTCGGCCGATCCTAATGAAATTTGGTAGGTCGGATTAACTGACCAAATATATAATCTGTACCAAGTTCCAGCTTCATCTTCAAAAACACGAAAGTTGGGTCATTTCCGATCGTTCAGTTATATGGCAGCTATAGGATATAGTCGGCCGATCCTTAAAATTTGGCATGTCGTATTATTTTGCCAAAAATAGCTCTCATGTCAAATTTGAACTCTCTAACTCTAAAAACATCAAAGTTATACCATTTCCGATCAATCAGTTATATGGCAGCTATATGATATAGTCGGGATCCGGGCCGTTCCGACTTATAACTGCGGCAAAGGAAAGAAGGGTGTGCAAAGTTTCAAGTCGATAGCTTTAAAACTGAGAGACTAGTTTGCGTAGAAACAGACAGACGGACAGACAGACGGACAGACGGACAGACGGACAGACGGACAGACGGACAGACGGACATGCTTATATCAACTCAGGAGGTGATCCTGATCAAGAATATATATACTTTATAGGGTCGGAGATGTCTCCTTCACTGCGTTGCACACTTTTGACCAAAATTATAATACCCTCTGCAAGGGTATAAAAAGTAAAAGACCATACAAGATTATCGGCTCTACACTAATATTAACAGTTTTATTTCCTTATAATGGTTACCAATCAAAACATCAGCCTTTATCTTCCATTCTAGCTTGAAAAAAGTATAATTTCCATCAAGAACTGCCGA